AGATTTGTTAATTGGAAGGCTTAAAAATAAATAAGATGATAAATAATTATGTGAGCTAACAGCAGAAATATAAAAATTGACATAATAAATATTAAATAAAAATGATGAATTAAATAAAATATAAATTTAATACAGTTAATTAGTATCTCAAAAAGTAAATAGAAGTAGTAAATAGAAAAATTATGCCAATTAAACATTATAATTGACTAGAGAAATTGAAAAGTTAGCAAGTATATTATTAAAACAAAGTGATGAGATAAAATAGTTAACCATAAAGAACTTTTCTTTAGAAGAGAAATTAAAATAATAGTAATTTTAATAAGAAAAAAGTATAGTTATTTAATAAGATAATTCTTTGAAGATGATATATGAAGATTAAATTAAAAAATTATAATTGGAAATTAATGAATGGAAAAATAGTTATTCTAATCTTTAGTAAGTAAAAGAAAAGGAAAATAATAATTTAATGTTAAGTATTAAAGAATAATCTAAAAAATTCAATTCTTGTACTAAACATGAATAATTAAAAAATAAAGCTTGTAATTTTTTTTATATTTATATGTATTAATTTATATTTTTTTAGATCAATTAACAGAAGAAATATAAAAATTATCGGAAATAAATGACTAAAAAACTTCATAAATAGAAAGTTTATTTAAATAATAAGAATAATCTAAATTAATAATTTAAGAAAGCCTAAATAATAATTAAATGAAAGAATTATAATAATAAACGTATATTTTATAATAAAAAAATCAAGAACTTTTAGCTAGAAATTAATAACTAATAGTTTAAATCGATTAAATAAGTTAAATATAAATAAATTCATCTTCAATATAGTGTAAAAACTGTTAATTATTAGAATAGGATATAATCCAATTAAAAGAAATCATAAAGTTATAATAATTAACTTAAGAGGAAATAACCCAAAAGTATAAAAATGAAATCTAAAATAATTAAAAATCTAATATATATCAATAAGATAACTAAAAATATAGGGAATAATTAGCAATATTAACATTATAATTAGAAAAACATATATAAATTAATAAAATTTTAGAAGAAAAAATAGCCTTTTAAAATAAAAATGAATTAGAAAATTCTTTAATTATTATATAAAAAGAAAACGAAAGACTTTAGAGTGATAATAGTACTTTAAATTTAAAAATAAATGATCTTTTATAAAAACTTGATAGTTTTTATAAAGAAAAAGAAACACTTTTAATAAGTATTTAAAATTTAAAAGATGAAAAATCAAGAATTTAAAATGAAAATATAATTTAAAATAATGACAGTTTAGCAATATTGGAAAAGAAGAATTAAATAATGATACTTTTAGAAGAAAATGAAAGACTTAATAGTACTATAAAATAAATATCAGATGAATATTAAAGAATAACAATATAAATAAAGGAATATTAATAAAAAGTTAATAATAATATGAATTAAAATGAAGAAATATAATATTTACAATAAGAAATTAACAAATAAAAATTAATAATTAGCCAATAATAGTAAGAAAAAGTACTATTTTAAAATCAATATAGATCCTTATAGGAAAATGATAAAGAAGAATAAATAAAAAAAGATTTCAAAATAAAAATGGAATCCGTTTTGAATGAAAATAATAGACTTAATTAAGCTATTGAATAGATTTTGTAAGAAAATTAAGTTTTAAAGTTTTAATAAGGAGAATTGGAAAATAAAATTAGAAAAGAATTTTCAAGCTAGATAGAAGCTTCCAATTCTGAAAAAAATAATCTTTTAGTTGAATTGTAAAGAAAAAAAGATTACTCGAAATAAATATAAGAAATACTTTTTGAAAATGAAAAATTAAATACACTGTTGGTTTAAATTGGTTAGGAAAATTAAATTTTATAGTAATAATTATTATATAAGGAAAATAATAATAATGATTCGAAATTTATTTAGGAGTATTAAAGTTAAATAGATATTCTTTTATAAGATAAAAATAGATAAAGTACTACGGTTTAATAAAATACAAAAGAAATTAATAATTCGAAAAGACTTTCATAAAATAAAGATTGTTCTTCATAATATTAAATAACAATTAATTCATTTGAAAGTTAAGTTTAATAATTAAATATCTAAATATAAAATCTTAATAATGTTATATAGTAACTTTAAAATGAAAATTAATAACTTAAATATAAAAATAATCAATATTATTCAATGGAATCTAAATTAAAAGAACTTTTAGATTAAAATTAAAATATTAATTAAATAATAATATAATAAAAAGAAGAAAATAATATGCTAAAAAAAACATTAAGTGAAAACTAAAACTAAGAATAAATATATGAATAATTTAATTAAAAAATATAAATTCTTAATTAAGAAAATATAAAAATTAATTATATAATGAATGATTAATAAAAGATTATTGAAGAATTAAAATAAGAAAATTTAAATTTAAAAAATTAAATAACGGAAATCACAATAACAAATAAGAGTTATTCAAATAATGAACATTTATAATAAGAAATAGAAAAGAAAGGTTTAATAATAATAAACTTAAATAAAGAATGTGAAATGCATTTGGTAAAGTTAAGATAATATGAAAATGAAAATAAGGAATATTTATAAAAAATGGAAATTATTGTTAAATAATTAGAATCAAATTAATAAACGAATAATTATTTAAGTTATGAAAATTAACAATTAATATAAAAATTAAACGAATTCATGAACGTAGAATTAAAAGTTAAATAATATGAGTAAAATATATAATAATTAATGTAAGAAAATCAATCTATGAATTAAATCTTAATGAAATTAAAGACTGAAAATGAAGAATTAGTTAGGTCGAAAAATATTGAAATATAAAATTTAAATGCAAGAGTAGGACATTTATAAAATGATATATAAAACAATGAGATTTAATATTAAAATAAATAATAAATAGAAAAGCTTACTTAAGAAATATTAAATTTAAATGAATTACTTGTTGTGTCTAATATGGAAAAGGAACATCTTTTAGAAAAGTTAACATTTATTTAAATAGAAAATTAAGAGATTTTATAAAATTACCAATTTAATTCTATATAAATAGAGAAAAAATAGAAAGAATTAGACTAAGAATATTAACAAAAGAAATAAAATTTATATTATGAAAATAATAATTAGTAAGAAAAGTAATACTAAGATTTTTTAATTGAAAAGTAAAGTTATGAAAAAGAAATTTAAGAAAAAAATTTAATAATAAATTAATTAAAAATAAAAATTGAAAATTCTGGATAAGAATATATTAATATAAACTAAAATTTGAATGAAAAAATAAAAGTTTTGGAAAGTTAATTAATTATTTCTATAGCAGAAATTCAAAGATTAGCAAATATAGTTGAAGGTTTGTTAACAAATAAATTATAATTATAAAAATAAGTAGAAGCTCTTTAGTAAATATTAAAAGAAGCCTAAATAAGAATTAATTATTTAAGTTAAGAACTTAATTTTAGAATAGTTTAGGAATAATAAAGCTTAGATAATATGGAAAAAATTAAAAAGGCAGGAAATGACAATAAAAAATTATAAGATCAAAATGAAGATTTAGTTTAATAGTTAAACTAGAAAATATAAAAATTACAAAACCTTATTTAAATTAAAGATTAAAACCTATAAGATTTAGCATAAGCATATTAAGAACTAGATAAATAATTAAAAAACAACAAGATTTAAAATAACTAAGATTGTAAGTTATATATATATATATATATATATATATATATATATATATTTATATATTTTTATTATAAAAAAAGATATCTTAAGTAAAAATTAAGAAGAGAAAAGAATATTATAAATCGAAAATAATAATTTATTATAAAAGATTGCATTTTTAGAATAAAAGGATGACCTATAAAATAATGGTTATTCTGTTTGGAAAGAAAAATTTGAAAAATTTGAATAATAAAGATTATAGGAAATCGAAGATATGTAAAAAAGCATTGATGCTTTTAAAAATCTTAATTTCCAAAGAAATTTTTCTTTAGAAGAAGCTGAAAGAACTGCTTTTTGTACTCAAATTTAATAATTGTAAATAAAAGTGTTTGAATTAAATGAAAGTTTGTAAATTAAAAATAAAGAAATATAAAATGCTTAGATTATGAATATTTAATAAATGAAAGAAAATACAGAATTAAAAAACAAAAAAATGATTTTATTTAAGGAAATAATTCTTATGTTGAAATTACAAATTTAAGATAATAAAATATGGTTTAATATATATAAAAACATATAATTATATTAAATTATATTTTTTTTTTCTTTTTTGGTAAATAAAAATATAAAAAAATAGAAATTAAATGATGACTTATATTAGTAACAAAATTTAATTAGAAATATGGAAAATTAAAATAAATAACTTATTTTATAAATTGAAAATTTAGAAAATAAAAATCAATTACTTAGTAATTAAATAATGAGTTTAAAATAAGAAAATAATAGTATTTCTAATGAAGTAAATTTTTATAAATATATATTTGTTTTATGTATTAAAAATAAAAAGCTGCATTCAGTAAAATATTAAAGCTAAACTTAGGCTTCTAATTCTAATTACTAACATGACTATGAACTTTTGAAAAACAAATTAGAAATCTTAAGCAAAACAAATGAAGAAATGTAAATTATTTAATATTAATTATTTTTATTTATCTAAAAAAAGTATATAATCAAGAGATATGTATAAACTATAATCTGAGAGAAAATCTTACGAGATTAATTAAAAAAATAAAGAGTTAATTGATAAAATAGAATAATTAGATAAGACATAATTCGTTTATTAAGAAGCTTTGACTAATGTTCATAAATTGGAATAAAATGTAATTTGTTTTTTTTTAATATTTTAAATTTATTTGTTATTAAAAAAAAGCTTTTGGAAAAATTGAAAAATGAAGAAGTTATTATATAATGATTATAAATAATATATAAAAATTATAAATAATTGTTTTTGAAATATTTTGGTTTATTATAATTTGGAAAATTCAATAAACTTTTTTTTTTTTTTTTTTTTCACAAATAATATTTTTGACTTTTTTATAAAATATATAAAGGAAAGCCAAATTTATCATTAAATTTACTGCTTTCTTTTTTTTTTTTTTTTTTTAATTAAATAAATTAATTAATAAATAATATAAATATAAGTTATAAGAAAATAAAATAATATACTTTTCTAATCTAATAGTAATATTTTTAAAATCTTTATAAATCTAATCTAATTTATATTTAATTAAATCTAATTATTTTGCAAGCTCATCAATTTTTGGAGCTTCTTTGAATTTAATAGTTTTTAAAAAAACAATATCGAATTCTTTACTAAGAATATTAGCTGCATTGATTTCAATTAAAGAATCTCCCAAACAAATAAGATTAGTTATAATCTTTATAAAATTTAAACAAACACTAATAATAACAAAAAATTACTTATTTATCATAGTTTTTTCTCAAATCTTTAAAAGAAAATATTTTCCATAAATGAGATTAACTAGGAAATTAGCTTTCATATTTAGTCCTTGCTGAAATAATTTAAATTTTAGATTCAGTAATAAAATTAAAAACATTTGGCATGAAAATTTTACTACTATATTCAACCCAACCTTAAGCTGCATTAGTAATAATATACACATCTCCATAATCATAGGCTTATTTTAGTATATCACACTTTTATATTAATGCAAAAATATTTTTTTATTTAAAATAAATAAATTATTCGTTTTTATTTACATATTTTTAAAAGTAAATTTTTTACTGCTGATATATCTAAATTAAATATATTCTTTGATTATTATTATGATATATAATCAAACTTTTATGCTTGTAAGCTTGTTGTACAAAATAAAGTATCATCCCAATCAAATATAATTACTTTTTTTTTTTTTTTATAAATAAATAAATAATAATAAATTAAAAATTATATCATCTTTTTATATTTGTTTAAATAATATAATAAGTACTTGTCTAATGCTTTGATGTTTAGTTTTATTTTAAAATTTTATTATTTATTAGCTTATTTATATATTTGTTTCTTAATTAATCACATTTTGTATAAAAGTTCAATTATATTTCGCATTCAGTTTTTGTATAGCTCTTTTCTAATTCTAATTCTAAATCATTATCTTCTTTTGTTTCTTATTCTTGTTATTCAATAAAAGTATCGTTGTTTTGTTGTTCTGAAGGTATTAATACACTATCTAAATATTTGACATATACTTCTCCGCTTTTTTAATGCGTGTATTCGTTTGTATTTTCTTCAAATGAATCCATACTTTGTATTTAGACTGATAAAGTCAAATTTTTAGGGTCTATTTATTGATTAATAGAAATTTATTAATTCATTTCTTAGTTTTATTGGGTTATTTTTGGATGAAATAAATTTTATTATTCTATTCCTAATTTTTGTAAATATTTTAATCTTTGATTAAATTAATTCATTTTTTTTATTTATTTTTATATTTTATTTTTTTTAAATTATTTTATTCTAATTTATTACAGAATTTAAAAGATATTTATAAAGCTATTTTATATATTATTTTTTTTAGATTATTTTATTCTAGTTTATTATAGAATTCAAAAGATATTAATAAACATATTTTTTATAATAATAATTTTTGCTATTTTAACAATTTTTATAAAAGAAATATTTAAAACTAAAATTAATTATTTATTTATTTTTCGTAAAATGTAAAAATATTGTATTTAAATATATTGCTTTTTATAATTTCGAATAATCAAAATATAAATAATTCTTTTATAAGTAAGTAATTAAAAATAATAAATATAGATATTTTAAATGAAAAACTTAATATATTTATTTATTTTTAAATACTCTAAATCATTAATTATTATAAATATATAAATTTTTTGTATTAAATGGATTATTTTTTGAAGTTAAATAGGCTGGTCCTATTGTATCATCATCGAAATAAATCCATTTTTTTTAATTTTGATCTTATAATGATTGAACATATATCATGTCTCCCATTGTTTATATTATTTTACATGTTTGATATTCATTTATATATAAACTTAAAATTTTTATTTTTTTAAAATATACACATTAAAAAAAATTACACGTCTATCAAAGAATCTACTTATAATTAGTTTTAATTTATTTCCTCATCTGAATCATAATCTAAAATAATTTTTTATTTTTCGCATATTTTTATTAGGTTTTAATATCTTTATTATGATTTTAATTATATTTCTTAACTAAATTTTGTAAAATATTAATTGTTATATAAAAATTTTTATTCAACATTCCTAAATAAATAAACCTTTTTATTAATGTATATTTTAAATGTAATGAATTTTTTTTAATTTACATTTCCTTTTTATAAATTTTGATATAAATTTTAAGTATTTTTTATCCATTCTTATATATTATATAAAAACTAAGGGTACTATTAAAAAAAGCTTTATATATTCATAGCAAATTCATAATTTAAAGAACAAAACTAAAAATATTAATAATAAATATATCTTTATATAAATATAAATAAATACTTTATAAATTTAATCGAATGCTATAGAAGATGCAAAATAAAAATTATAATTATTATGTAAGAAATTTAAGGCATTTATTGTTATACTTTTAATCTTTTTTTTTTTTTTTAAAAAAAAAAAAAATATACGGGATTTTTATCTATATAATTAATAAAAGTTTACTTTGTCTTTAACAGAACTTTTATCTAAAATAAAAGCTTTAATTAAACAAAAATAAATCTTAATATTATTTTAATCAATGTTTTTATTTTCAAATATTGATTAGAAATATGAAATAATTCTATAAAATATTGAATTATTGTTAAAGCATATATGAGAATATATTAAGCTTAAATATTTTCTTTACAACTTCGTATTTGAACAAATCAAAACAAGATGTTAAATATAATTAAAATTTAGAATAAATTAAAGTTCATCATCATCTATAGCTTTTTACTTTCTAAAATTTAAAGAATCATCAAATTATACTTCTTTAATTAGCATATAAAAAAGCTTTATTTAATAATGACTTAGAAACTTAGTATATTACTTAATTATTTTATTATTTATATCTGCCTTATTAATAATATATTCAATTATCTATTAATCTTCATTTTTATTAATTTTACTTTGAATTTAATTATTCGTTTAATTTTTTTCAATTAAACAGTTCTTTAATTCACTTTCTGTATTATTACTTACATTTATAAAATTCTCGAAACTCAAATAACCTGGACCAGTAGGTTTTATTTCTAATATCAAAGACTATAGAGCGCCTATAATTTTTTATTTAAGAAGTTATTCTTTAACTTATTAATTATTTTCAGTTAAGAAAGCTAAAATTCTATATAATTAATTCAAATTTTGTGATTTTTCGGGAAGTTTTAAAAGAAATCCATAAATTAAATAGGTGAAATTTTTAATTTATTAAATGTTATTTTAAATATAATTTTAATCTTTTAAGAGTGTATTTAAGGCTTCTATTAATATACCCGCAATTAAATATTTAAAATCGTCAATATAACAATCTACAAATATTTCTTAAATAAAAGATTCATTTGTAGAGTTTATAATAAGCCAATTTGACAATTCTATATTATTTTTTAAAACTTATTTGATTTTGGTTTAAAATTAAGGAATTATTTATCTGTCTATTTGTCGTAAAATTATAAAGAAGAAATCCACTATTATAAGCTTAGAAAATTAATTTGCAACCTATTAAATATTTTGAATTTATTAAGGTATTATATTTATTAATTATATATTATAATCAATAAAATCTTAACTAAAAAAATATTTATTTAAGATTATTTCATTATTTTATGATAAAGTGTTCTTTTTTTTTTTACCAAAAAAATAATAATAATTATATATATATATATTATTTTTTATTACTTCTTAAAGAACATTTTATGCTTCATTATTTGAATTTTCATCTTCAGCCTTTTGTTCAACAGGGTATATATATTTTTCTCTTTCATAAAATAAAAGATATGCGTTTTTATTAGACCCTTCTTAAAATTATTTTTTATTTAAATACTTTTATTTCTATAATGTTTTTTTTTTTTTTTTTTACCAAAACCAATTTTATCTTAACTCTCGTCAGACCCAAATGCTTAAGTTTGGATTTCATTTTCATCAAACTAAACTACTTAAGTATCATTAAATTCATACCACTTTTAATTTTAATGTTTAATAAGACTATAGTAATGTCCAGCTTCAGTATTACCTTAATGAATAACAATACCTCTTAAATTATAATCATAATAATCATCATCATAGATAAAATAATCACTTTATATATTTGATTGTTATTCAATACTGTTTTTTTCTTCTTCAGGGTTTTTTTATTGTTCTTCTTGGTTATTTTCATTAATACTATTATTATTATTTTCTTTGTCTGTTTTATTGTCTTATTCTTAATCATCTTAGTCGATTATTATTTTGCTTTTTTCTTGTTCATTTATGTATTATTGAGTATATTATTTTAAGTTAAGCTTATCTGGAAATTTACAATAAGAATTTACTTTAGTTTTTTGCATTGTTTCAAGATCAAATTTAAATCTTTTAAGGGCAATAATAAGTACATTAGGAAGTTTTTTTATTGATTATCTTTTCAAAGTATTTACTTTTTTTTAACACTTATCACATTTATATTAATTATCACCAGAAAGCATTTCTCCCTAAACAAAGCTTTCTAAACATTCATTTAGAGTTCTTTTATTTTCTATAGGTAAACTCAAAACAAGAAAAGCTTCTTTTCTTTCAGATTTGTGTGAGCATCCTTATTCACTATTGTCTTTTGTATAAGTATTGTTTTCTAGTTAAGTTTTTATCTAAGGATTATCAGCCCCTATTAATTCATTTGAAAGTTAGCCTTCGAAAATGTTTTTAATTATGTTTTCTTGATTTTTTCTTTGTAGAATAGTTTCTAGTTTATCCATTAGAGTATTAAAAAATTCATCTACATCCATTTATTAAGTCACATTTATTGGATTTCCTTAATAATCTTTGAAGGCTTAACAAAATTCTTTTGCTTCTATGTATTATTTTTAAGAATAATTTAAGTTATTAAAAAGCTAGTTTAATTAAAATAATACATTTTCTTAAAGATTATCATCTTCTATTTTTACTTTCATAAGGTTTTATGAAAATTCCTATTTTTTTTTTTTTTTATTTTGTTAAAAAATAAAATAATGATAAGTATTACTTTAATCATATATAATTATTATATTAATGAGTTCATATAACATGTGCTTCCTAAATTTTTTAATCCAACAAATTAATTTGTATTTTACTCGTTTTATTATTCTTATTCTATTCTTATTTGCCAATTTATTTTCTATTTGATACGCCAAAATGATTATTAAATAAATTTTTTAATAAAATCATAAATATCATATGATTATATATTTTATTTAATTTAGTATTATTGGATTATTATTAAAAGATTATACATTAAATTTCTTATATCTTGATGTTTACATTTTGGTTGTAAAATACTATTTTCTATTTATATTACACTAAATAGATAATTTTCAATTATATTTTAGATTATTTAATTATTCGAAACCAACTTTTCAATAAATGAATTTTCAATTTCTATTATCTTTTTAAAGATAAGTAAAATTCCTTTGAAATACTAAGCTTCTATTTATTATTTTAAATAAAAAATTAAAAATATAAAACAAGTTAAAACATTTAATACAAACATCATTTTTTAACAGATTTTAATTAAATAAAAGCAAACTTTTATCAAATTTCATTTACATTTAAACATAGTTTATTTACAAATCTTACATTATTTTTGAATAAACATTGTAAAAAAAAAACAGACATCACAGTATTCAGATATAATCAGTTAATTGTTCTCAAATATTAATTAATTGAATTATAGTTCTATACAGTCTATTACATTCCTTTATTTTTTTAATTAATATACTAATTTTTCTATAAATACGCTTGATAATTATCTTAATGTTTCATCTTATTTATTTAATAACAATTTAATAATTATAGTCTATATAAAGCTTTATTATTAAAGTTCATAAAAAGTTTCAGAATTTTATTATAAACAAATATTAATTAAGTTATATCCATATTAAATGAATTTTCTTAAATAAAGTGCGTCTTATTCATATTATGTTTCCAAAACTACATTTATATATTTAAATGTATATATTGTTATTGCTTTTATAAAACTTTAAAAGCTTTAAAGTTATCCAAAATATTTACTAACTTCATTTAAATAAGTTTCTATAATAAATGACATTAATTAAGCAAGAAGTTAAAAAAATATTAAATTTTCATTTATTTTATCACCTTAGGTTGCATATATTTATACTAAATGTTAAAATCCACCTTTATTTATGAATTTTATACACCATTATTATTAATTCAAAAACGTTTTATTTATTATGTATAAATAATATTGTAACTTTTAAAGTTATTAATTTTAAAAAAAGTCTTCCCAATTTAACTTTCTATTATTCTTTAATTTATTTATTTATTTTTTAAAAAGAAAAAATATGTTTTATTTTATTTTTATTTCAAAAAAATTACTTATATATTTGATATCTTATTAACTATATCTTTGTTTTTTGGTAATATTTACAATATGTTCCATGAATATTCAAATATTTTGATATTTTTTACTGTTTATTGTTGAAGAGAATCAAATAAAATATCTAAAAATACTTAACTGTTTATTAATTAATTTTTAAATTCGTTTAAGTAATACTCTTTTAAATTCTTTATTTTAAATTATTTATATAGATATATTAATTTAATATATAATTAATAAATTTTTTATACTGTGTTTATTCCATTATCACTATTAACCACTTATATTTAAATTTCTTTTTTATCATATTAATATTAAAGAACTTCATATAAATTAGTATCTTCATATTAGTTTTTGTATATGTAATATCCCTAATCAGCTATAATTAAAGGCAATTTAATTTAAAAATCGTTTTTTGTAATTTAAAATGTATTAATAATTTATTTTTTAATAAATAAAAAAGTGGCATTAAGTGGGAAATTGAATTTCTTTTTAAACCTTTTTTTTTTTTTCATATAAAAATTATGTTTACCATTATATTCAATTACAACTATTACTTTCATATTTTATTATCCAATATAATATCTCCCTTCAATCTCTTATAGAAATAATTAAATTAAATATAAAAGCTTTTCTTTGAAACTTGAACTTTTTGTAGTTTGAAAATTTTCAATACATTTTTTCATAAACTTATTCCATAGTTTTTATAAATCTATTTATTATTGATTGTATTTTCTACAGCTTGTATATACTAATAACTTTGTTGTTTAATTTATTACATCTTAATTTTAAGAAAATTGTAATATATTCCAAAATAGTTCTTTTCCTATTTGATTTTGACTTTTGCAATAAATTATATTATTATCTTTCGAATTAATTTAAATATTATCTTCTTATTCGTTTATATTTATAAAATAATTTTTAATACAAGTAAAAATATCTTAATCTATTTCAGAAAAAATTGTTAACTATTAATTTTAGAATATTTCTTCAAAAATAAAATATGTTAATTGTTTTGAAAAAATCATTTTTTTGTTTTAATTGTTTCTTTTTTACTTTTTTGTTTGTTTAAATATTAATAAATATATTGTATAATATTTATTACACATATCCATTTTAAAAATATTCTTCTTATTTAAATATCATATTTATCTGTTATAATATTTTCCCATAATTTCCTTATATGGTTTATAGAAACAGTTTTTTTATTTTCTGAATAATTCAGAATAAAAGTTAAAAATTAAAATCTTATTTAAATATGTTATTTTAAATTATATTTTCCTATAATAATCTTATTTTATTTATTTGTATAAACAATAAAATATATATAAAAAAAATACTTATTCCAGTTTTTAATCATTAATTAGAACTTAATCTTTTGTATTTTGTAATAAAGTGCATAAGTTTTGAGCAACTATTTCAAAGTAATTTATATTTTTATCATTTTTTATTAGAAAGTTAAATTAATTTTACGAACCAAAATTATTTGTATAATAATAATATGATTATGATTATTTACCTTAAGCTTTAAAAATTTCAATTAGAATTTTTATACTTTAACAAACTTGTACATTTTATTGAATATTTTTAATACATTATTACTAACAACTATCCCTAAAATAAGCAAAATTTGAAGAAGAAATAATTTAAATGAAAGAATCGACAGCATAATCAATTAATTTATTATTTAACTTGTTTTAATCTTAAATAATTTCCCAATAAAGCTTAGTTAATAAGTTCAAAAGATTAGAATAGGCTTTTGCTTCTGGATTTTCTTAATTACTTTCACTATAGCCAATATTCCTTTTACTACTAGAAGAACTATTGGCTTGTAATTTCTATAAATTAAATAGCTAATATTTTATAAAATTTAAAGTTTATTAAGTATATTTATTTTAAGGAATCGAATAAATATAATCTATAATTAGACTTAAACAATCACTATTCAAATATTAGGTCAAAGTATTAATACCTTCATAAATTAAAACTAAGTCTACATCATATTAATTTTGGAGAATTTTTATTAGGACATCCATTTATTAAAAATTGCGATTATCGATTGTGGATACTAATAAAGGAATTGACCTTTTAAAAATTTCAGGATGGAAATTATCAATGAGTAAATATTAAATTAACTAATTTTCCTTTATTAATGTCTATATATGTTTTATATTCATGCAGGATTTTATAAGCTCTTTAAATAATATTAATGCAGCAATTTTTTTTTCAAGATATTAGGATTTTATTACTCTAGTTAAAAATAAAGCCTCGTTTATTTCATTCTCATTTTAATCAAGGCCTTCTATGTTTTTTATTTTTATAGAATCTAAACTTCTTATTATATTTGATACTTGTTATAAGTTTATATCTTTTATTTCTTTATCTTAAATCTTTTGTATTCTTTTCAATATAATCTTGTTTTTGTTTTTTTTAATTTTTATTTATTTTTTAAAAATTTTACTTTTTTGTACTCTAAACATAAATTATCATGTATTGCTAATGGTATTCTATTTTAAGAAAACTTCATTAAATAACTTATTTTTTCAATTATATTAAATGGAGTTTTATAGCCTTAGTATTCACATTATATTAAATTAAATAAATTTTCATATCCTTATATATCATAAAAATATTAAATATTTTTTGTTGATAAATATGTTTAGGTTAATCCATCATATCTAAATTGAGACTTTTTTTAGATATTTTTTAAAATAATGAATATTAAATTATATATATTAATAAAAATAAATTAAATTATATATATTAATAAAATAAATTAATATATATATTAATAAATATATAAATATATGTATATATTTTTATATTTATATATATATATTTGTATATTTGTATATTTGTATATTTAGAAATAAAAATATATTATATATTTTTTTAAAATTTTTATTTTTTAAATACAAAGAATTTCTATGTTCTTTATATTCCTCCGAATAAACTTTATAATGAATCGAAAATTTAAAAATATGAACTTACAAAAGCAACTTAACTATCAACTATAAACAAATCTATATCAATATTCATAGCATTTATATACTTTTATTATTATTATTATTTTTATAGTAATTTAATAATAAAAATATTAATATTTTTTAAAAAAATAATATAAATTATTTAAAATAAAAATATTTGTAAATATAGAAATGCTTTTGTTATTAATTTAATTTCTTATTTTAATTTTTAAGATAAAAAATGAAATTTTTACATTAGGTATATATTTGGGTAGTATTTGAATGTATTTATTCGTTAATTAGATGAATTTTTTAAAAAAGTAAATTATTGTTTCTTAGTTATCTTTATTTATTATAAAATTATTTAAGTTTAGAATTTTTTCTATCATAAAATTCAAAGTTCCTCTAAAATATTAGTTAATTTAATTTGGATCATCAATTTATAAATCTGATTATATTAAATTATTCATTTTTTCTATTTCCTTTATTAATATTATCAAAAAGGATTTTTTTATTTTTTTTACTTAAATAATATTTTAATTGAATTATTAGTTTGAATCGAACACGAATATAATTTAATCTCTATTTTTTTTCTAAAAGGTGCTAAATTTTTAGAATCATAAGTATGAAACTAAAATAAAAAAATAAGTTTTAATATTTTTTAATATAATTAAATTTTATATTATGTATTTTTGAAGCTTTTATTATAAATACTTCTTCTCTATTTTAATAATATTAAGTTGATAAATTTATTTAAATTTTTAATTTTCCTTTCTAATCAATATCAATAACTTTTCCTACTTGCCATTTTCCAATTGAATAAACATCAACATAATAAAAAGGTTAATAAAATTTAGATAAATCCAAAAGTTTTAATTTTTTTTGGCTTATTTGTAATTAATTAAAAATCTCTTTTTATATATTTTAATCATCATTATTATGTACACCATTTTATAAATACTTTAAATTTTAATCCATATTTTAATATCGTATTTAATTAAATATCTAAATTAGTGTAAAAAAAACAAATGAATATTTTATTCTCTTATTTAACTTATAAAAATAATTATACTTTTTATTCTCTTATGTAATTTATAAAATAAACAATATTTTAGATACAAAATTTTTAATATAAAAAGTAATTAATATTATAAATTATGTTTAATATTTTAATAAAATTTAGATAAATTTTGTGAAATTATAATTCAATATGGCTATGTTGATTATTAAATATTATTTATTTTTAATATAAAATAAAAAACATTATTTGGACAGAAATTTTTGTACTTTTTTTTTTTTTTTTTTGTATTAAATTACTATATTAAAAATTTTATTTATAAATTTTAAGTTTTCATTATATTGGTAAATATTATTTCTAATTATTATTTTCTTAGTAATGTGCCTATAAGTAAAAAAATAAAAATATAATTAAAATTTGATAAAGATCTATTTATAATTATTCATAAATATAATAATTAAAATTTATATAGAATAAAATAAAATATTTAAAGGAAAAAAAAAATATATATTTTATTAAAAATAGTATTTTTTATACAAAAACAATATTAATTAAAAAATATGATTTCTATTAGAAAAGTATTTTCTAAAAATCAATATCTTTCCAATATTATAGTCAAAAACTTTTAAACAGGTGGATAATCACATTAAGAAATAACAAATATAGAAGGAAACAAGCCACCATAAGTAAAAAATAAATATAAATATAATTCATTATTTAATAAAATAATAAAAATAAGGTTGAAGATAGTATCTAAGGAAAATATGCAGGTGTATTATTTTCAAGTGCAAGCTCATAGAATTTATTAAATAAAGTAGCTGAAGATATGAAATACTTTTTAGATTTATATAAAGAAAGTGAAGTTTTTAAATCATTTTTGAACAATGTATCTTTAAAAAGAACAGAATAAAGGTAAATATTATAATGTTTAGGATAAGATAGTTTTACAAATGTTACAAATAATTTTTTAGAAACATTAATAGAAAATAAAAGACTAGATAGCTTACCTAAAACTGCCGAGAAATATATCGAATATTATAGAATTCTTAATAAATAAGAATCTATTACTATAATATCAGCAAACGAATTAAATTAAGAATAAAAAACAAAGTTGAAGATGGATTAAAAAGAGGTAATTAAGGTGTATAATTTACTGTTACTTATTAGGTAGATCCTACTATTTTAGGAGGACTTTAAATGTATTCCGGAAATAATTTCCTAGATTGTTCACTTTTGTCTCGTATTAATAAACTTAAAGGCGAAATTATAAAAATTTCATTTTGAAGTTAGATTAGTTTTATAATCTTTTATAAAAATAAAAAAAAAAAAGAAAGTATTATTTTTTATTTAGAATTATTTTTATTATGCAAATATAACATATTGAATATAATTTTTATTTTTTTATTAATAAATATAATAAAAATCTTATTTTTTAAAAAATATTATAGATTTTTAAATATTATAATAAAAATATATATATATATATATATATATATATATATATTTACAATTAACTTTTTATATAAATATAAATAATTATAAATAATTTAATTTTCATATAAAAATATGATTATAATCAATTTATTAATTTAATATTTTATATATTCAATTTAATACCTAATATTTTAATGTATTAAAAAAAAAAAATTACAAAATATTAATTAAAGATTATATTAAAATTATGAATAAATAATTATTTATAACAAAAATAAATCAAAATAAATATATGTGAGCTAAAACAAATATAATCGAAGAATAACCAAGTAGGTCAGAAGATCAAAAAGATGATTTAGAAATAAATATAAAAAGCAAGGCAATATACGCTAATGTTATAAAATCTGTATCTGCCGAAGTATTTGGCCAATTTAATTAAAAAATAGCCTTTTTAATTTCACCTTAAAGCCAAAAAGCCGCAAAAATAAAATCATGTGTATGACTATCATTTATGTTTTCAGTATTAGACGATAAATAGAGTAAAATAGTTATAAATTCAATGAAAGAAAAAAAATTAAATCAGGAGATTATATAGTTAAATTGGGGGAGGATGAAGATGTTTTATATTTTTTAAATTAATGAGAATTAGATTGTATATATATATAATTAAAAAAATTATAATAATTTACTTGTATAAAAACATATTTTTTAGAAAAAATTTCTAAGAATTAGACTTATTATATAGGACATAAAGGAATAATTATATTTTTTATAGAGATATATTTAAAAATAATGAAAAAGATTAGACTTATAAAAAAAGAAAATTGTATGAAAATTTAATTAAATAATTCGAATTAGTAAAAGATATGGAAAATTATAATAGATAGTGTAATTCAGATGCTATAAAACAATAAATTTAAGAAAAAATGGTTTTGATTTCAAAAATAATAATAATTTTTAAATGATAAAGAATGTTAATTTAAAGAAAATAAATGAAAAAAAAATACATTAATTATCATTAAAATTATGAAAAAGTAGATTATTATAAAACATAAGCATTACAAAAAAATAAAAATTATAAGAGAAGAAAATAAGAAAATTTTAATAACATAAATATTCTTAAAAAAATTGTAAAAAAAAATAGATAATATTAAAAAAAAATGCAGATAAATAATTAAAACTTTAAGATATAAAATAAATGATTTTAAATATTTATTTATTATTAAACAATAAAATATATAAAAAAAAATATCAATAAATATAATATATTTAAAATATTAAATATATGAGATATATTAATATATTTAATACATTAAAATTATTATAAATAATAAATATATATAATAGATTTAAAAATTAAAAAAGTAATATATATTTATTAAATAAATGAAATATAAATATATATTTATATATTTTTTTATATAATATATATAATATATATATATATATTTATAAATATAAATAAATTAATTAATAAATAAATATATTTTTATATATGTTATTTTAATTAAATATATTTTTTATTTATTTTTAATTAATTTTTATTTTTATTTCAAATAATTAAAAATAATATATATTTATTAAAGAAATATAATAAAAAAATATATTTTATGCATATATATTTTTTTTGTTTTATCTATAATTAAAATTTTATATTTATACCGTTTCATTTAATTTAATATATATTAAAATAGCAATTTTTTTTAACATATAATTAAATTTTGATAATAAAAAATAATATATTTTAAATTTTACATTTAAAAATTTAATTATTTAAAACTCTTATTATATATTATATTTATTTTTTTAATAACATATATTTCTTATATATCCTATATTTTTTATATATATATATATTTTTTTTATTATTATTTTTATCTTTTCTATTATTTTTTTTTTAAATTTCTTAATATATTATAATTATTTATTTCAATTTAATTATAACTTGAAAAAAATAATAATAGTAATATTATAATACATGTTATAAGTATAATAATCTAAATTAATCATAACTAAAATAAAATAAAATTTTAATATAAATTTATATCGTATATATAATATAAAATAATTTATATTTTCTTTTTATAAAACATAAATTAAAATATTTATTTATATATTTAAATTAAATAAAATATAATTCTTTATAAAAAATGTCAAAACTTAATCTATAAATATTTTTAATAATATTTTTAATTTTGAATCATTCCATTTCCTAAAAAATGGAATTCTCTTAATCTCTAAACGGTTTTTTGAAAAATTCAGATGGACATCTCGACTATGATATTCACATAATAAAGAAAATTCCAGACTCATTTTTAATAATAATAGCAGAAGGACGTTTCTACGATAGCGAACCTGACATATATATAAATACAGAATCAAAAGTATCTAAAACACAATAGCATTTAGATAAATCTTAATATGTATGTAAGTCTTATGGCTTTGCTTTCTGCTACATTCATGCAAATGATATTAAAGAAGATCAGACTTTTTATATAACAATTAAGTGCAGTTCGAATAATTGTTCATTTAAATTGACGGCTTTATACGAAGAAGAAATAAACGTTATCTAATTAAGATTAAATAATACTAAATATGCTATATTTTAAGATACAGAAAAACTTAATATAGATAATCCGAATTTAATATTGAACAAATTAGTGAAACTTTCTATAAATAAAGAAGATATAAATGAAGAAATAGAACATATTTTTATAGAATTTGAGCTTATTAATCCTCAAGAGTCCAAAAACACATTTGATGTTTTTATGAACTATAGCGACACTGTGCCTTCAAGGGATTCATATAATGCCATAGGACTGAACTGGGGTTCAGGAGCAGGTATGGGAGTAATTTTTTAGTCTAAATAAATGTTCGATATCGTTTCTCCTTCAGTTTATACAGCTATGATTGAAGCTCACGAGGGTGCTATTATCGCTATAAGGGCTTTTGGATGGGGAAAAGTACGAAAAATCGATGTTTTTGAAAATGTATCAGGATTTACAATGATTGGAACGAAAGAGATGAAGTATTAATTGTAAATTAGTAAGGAAATAGAAAAGAATGTTCCATTTTTTTTATAAAATAATTTAGTTATTAGTTTGATACCGTTCTCAGGAGACCCGGATCTTTTTGTAGATTATAGACCATTTGATAAAGTGTAAGAATATGAATGGAAATCGGAATTAGAAATGGATGATAAGTTAGTTATTTCTGCAGACTAATTAAAATAAATGAAGGCTTTTGGAAAAGATTTATATATTAGCGTTTAAAGTAAATCAGATTCTTCGTTATTTACTTTAAAAAGTTTCTTTCCATAAGGAAGGCTTAAAATAGGATTTGATTATCCGGAAAAGGGAAAACTATTACCAGATGAAATTATTGAGTATAAACTTGCTATATATGGAAGCAGTGTATCTAATTTTACTATTACTATTAATGCAGATATGGGAAAACCTATTTTATTATTGAAAAAATGCAGTGTTGATAATAAGGGAACGTGCAAAATTTCAAAAACTGAGGATTAGATTATTCAGGCGAAGTTCGAAAAAGATGTTTTGAAATATATTTATGAAAATGATCCGACTTAATGTGGAAATACTAAATTTGGAGATAGCTTACATGTTTGTAATTATGTGATTGCTGTCTTTAATAATGATAAAATTTAAATCGGATATACACTTTTAGTTAGCTCAAGTGCCTAACATACTGTTTTGAAAGAAGATTAGGTAATCCATGAAGGAATTGAACTCGGAAAAATTAATTATTATAAAATTTATGTAGGAGATAATCAAGAATTGGAAGAAATGAGCTTTTAGATTTCAGATGTGAAAGGATAAGTGAGTTTATTTGCTTCTTGTCTTATAAGTAAACCTTCTATTAATAATAATTAAAAGAAGTCTTTTTGGAATTATTTGGTTGTTTATAAATCAGAGTGTGATTTTCAAGTTGCCAAATATATCTATTTAGGAGTTTAGGGTGATGCGAATTTCAGCTCTTATAGTCTTTTGGCTAAAGGAATTAAACAATATTAAGTTCTGAATTATAAATTGTTAGAAAACTAAAGTCAAACAATTAATTTTGATAAAGATAAATATTAAGAAATTCATTTTCAATTTTAGGTTAATAAAAAAAATAATGATGATTAAAGCTAAAATGAAAATTTAGATTTTATAAGTGTTTAAGTCATTTTGGAACCTATTGTTGGATCTTTTGACATATAAGTAGGGGATAATATTTATTATACTCATTAATATATGTCCAGTTCTAATTAAATTAATTTCTAGATTAAATACTGGTAATTTGAAAATGAATAAAAAACTATGTATGGAATAGTTAGACCAAAAGAAAATAAGTCGTAATAAAATTTGTAGTTTACTTTAAGTTTTGTAACAAGTAATTTAGTTCATAGCAATTTAAAAATGGGATAATAATAATAATTGTAACTGAAAAAAGGAGAGCAATATTATAAAATAGCAGTTAAATCTTATAACTCAGTTGTTATTTAGAAAATATTGGTAGGAGATATAGAATTAGAAAATGGGGTGAAGGTATTTGCTTCTTGTGATTAAAAAATTACACAACCTCATAAAATAGAAGAAGGAGTGGTTTAATTGTAAAATTATATCCCAACTACTATAGATGGATAAAAATTACAAAAAAACTGTCCTAATCTTAATTAAAATAAAATTTTGGATAGTTGCTTTATTTTCTTAACTGTAATTTCAAATAAAGAGAACTCAATATTAATATAATCTGACGACTAAGATTTATAACATTAATTTATTTTTTCAGATATCCCAAATATAATTTTGTTTAATTTTTAATAACATAAATATCTTTATTATCCAGAGTTATATTCAAGAAAGTTTAATCTTTTTAAAAGCTCTACCTTCTATGGAGACTCGGTTGAAATTTGTGCCAAAATAGTCTATAATTAAATACCGAAGTAAGAATGGGATTATCCTTAAGGATGTGATGAAGGTGAATATGATATTAAATTTAAAACATAAAAAGACGAAAATTATTTGTAAAAAAAATATTTTTTTTTAAATATATATATATATATATATATATAAATATATATATATATTATTTATATATATATATATATTCATTTTTTATTATTTTTTATAAAAAAAAAGCTATGAAATAATTGATAGTTAAATTTCTTGTTAATTTGATAAAAGAGAATGTGGATTAGCCATTTATTTAGTTGACAATACAAGTAACATTTAAAGTTCGAATTCTGATAAAATTGATTAAATTAGTTTAACTCTCTAATAATCTAAAACTAGAATTAACATCGGTGATAAAATTAAAGATGTTCTTCCAACTAAAGGGGCCAGATTTTACTCAATTGATATATTTAATGAAGATATAGAGTCATTTACAGTATAAGGAACTGAATATCTAGTAAATACACTAGAAATAGATATATACTGTGAAAACTAATTAATAAAATCATCATCTAATGTTTAATCATTAGAATTAACAATAGATCATAAAGTTTTAAAGGAATTTAAAATAGATAAAATATAGACTTAATATATAATAGAAGTGAAATCATTAAATATTTAAAAGGATATTATATATTAAATAAGTTATAGTTAAAAAGAGAAAGGAAAAATAAAAATAAAGAATATATAGGCTGGAAACATAACAAAAATATAATTAAATTCCGAAGAAGATTATTAATATTTTTAATATATAAATAAAATCAAAGGAAAACCATTCAAAATAGTAATGTAGAATTTAACTTAAGGAAAAACAAAGCTAAAAATTTAAAAATATAACGATAAAATTTAATAATCAGAGCTAAAGTTGCCTTTAAAAGATACTTTTATTTCCACTACTTAAGATGTTATAGAAGTAGATACTTAAGATAATGATTACTAATGTATTTCTTATTGTTATTATTTACTAGAGTTTTAAGCTTTGGAACATTCCGGAAGTTTATTAACTGTATAAATTGAGGAAACTAATAGTTAAAATGAAATGCATCTATTGGAAAATATTGTATAGAAAAATAAATTATATTTTAATGATGTTACTATGCATACATTTAATGTTTAGTAATTAAGTGCTGTACATTTACAAATTGAATATGGAGAATTGGAAGTTAGTATATTCTATTATGATGAAAATTTGACAGTTCATTAAATATAATATAAGAATAAACTCAAAGGATAATAATCATATAATTATACATTATAACCTCTTTAAAATACTAATTAACTTTATTATATAGAAATTAAATCTTTAGAAGTATTTATTTTAAATAATATACTATATATGTATTATTTATTTTTTTAAAAAAAAGAAAAAATCTAAATATTACATTTCGTATAAAAGAACCGAAACTATTTAATAAATTAATTATGATGTTCCTTTAGTTAATAAATTATTAAAATCTTAAGATAAAATATAATATATAATAGTAAATATATTTATATATATATATATATATTAATATAATAATTATTTTAAAAAAATAAGTAATCTATGAATACTAATGAATTAACTATTTAATATCAATTTTAATTTGAAGTAAGTTCCGATGTAACCGAATTAACTTTATAAGATGAATACGAATCCTAAAAAGCAAAGCTGTAATCTAAATTATTGGACTTTTAATATGACTCATCCTCTAAAACTTTTCTTAAACTAATAAAAGTTTATAACATACCAAAATAATAGAAATAAATAAACATCAATCTTTTTAATACTCACAAAAAATTAGATATCAAAAACTTAAAAATAGTAGCTTCTGGGAAATTCACATTATTATCGCCCGAACATCCTTAAATATTTTATTTTGATTAAATTGAATAGAGTCAATACTTTGAATTAGTAACTCCAATAGAAAAGAGCACAATCATACTCTAAATTCAAGACACATAAGGAAAAGTATTGGCAAAAGCAGCATCTTCATATGAAAAAGCACTTGACGGCCATTTTGATATATAAATATTAGATAATTAAGTAATGGGTAGTACTTTTATAATGAACATAGAAAATAATAACATTTTCATTTCTCTTTAAAACTAAGTAAAATATAGTTAAGGAAAAATCAAATTTAACTATTTCCCTTATGATACGATTTTGCCTGTTAATAATCTTAGTTATCCAGATAATATGTATATTAAGCTTATTAATAATAAAGAAGATTATTAATTTTAAATAGATAAGCTTAAAAATTAAAAAATTTAAGATTCTTAGTTTGTGCTTGAAAAAATCTTTTATTCAATCATTATTACTAATGATGTTAAATTTTATTCAAGTATTGATTATGTAGAATCTTTCTCTTAAACTGAGTTTAAATAAGTAATTTTAAATGATGAAGAATCAGCATTTAAACCTAAAGTCGCCGCTATTAGAAGCATTGCTGATGAATTAACTAATTCAGATTAATAATCTGTTAACTTTTCTGTTGATAGAAAAATCTTAGAAAAAGTTATTGCGTTAGTTTAAACTGATCAAATTCAAGTTTTTATTAAGGCTTAAGCTTAGTTTGGCTATAAGTAATACACTGAAAAGAAATTCTATAGGGATTATGTTTATGGAATGACTTTGCTTTAACAATTTGATACTAATAAAGATACAAAAACTAAAATTCCAGTAATAATTATTATTTCAGTTTTTTTGGTTGTAATTAGTATTACAAGCGCGTTAATATATTTCATTAGAAAATATAAAAAAGTACAAAAAAAATTACATTATGAATTAACTGATGTTAGAAATATTGCGAAGTTTGGAAGTTATTAAGAAGCAGATGAAAAATAAAGTCATTAAGAAATTAAACATATTCCATTAGAAGAAAATTGATATTTATTTTTTATTTTATTTTATTTTATTTCTTTGTTTTTTTTTTTTAATTTTTATTTTTATTTATTTTTTTATTTATATTTATATTTTTATTTGTTATTTTAAAAATTTTATTTATATATAATTTTTTATTTATATATATATATTTTTTTATCTTTTCGTCTCGTGTTATTGATATGTTTATTTTAAAATATAATATATATTTTTTTATTATTTTTAAAAATCTCTATTTCCTACATACATAATAATAATTAAGAGAAAAATATAAATATACATTTAAAAAAAAAATATATATTAAAAATATAAAATAAAGAACTAATATATCAATATTAAATATATATATATATATATATATATATTAATGTCATTCTTGTTAATATATATAATTTAAAATTATAATTTCTATATGATTTATTTTTAAATGTTCTAAAATTTTTATTAATAATATTGCTTTTATTTATATTTTTATTTTCAAATATTTTAAATATATTATTATAATCAAATAAAAAATTTATTTGGTTAAGATTAAACAAAAAAAACTAAATGCATCAACTTTTATAATTAAAAAATAATAGTTAATTTGGGCAAAATTAAAAGGATATCCTTGGTGGCCTTCATATGTATAAATAAGAAAAAATAAAAAGATAAAAATAATAATTATATAAATATCTAAATGTGGCAAAATAAATATAATAAATAAATGTGTAAAATTTATCTGTTTTACATTCCAATCAATAATAAATATTAAAATTATATAAAATATTAATAATAAATAAAAAATGCAAATTTATATTATATATATTTACAATTATTGAATATTAAATAATTTTAAATATTTTTTTTTTTTTTTTTTTAAATCTATAATAAAAAAAGATTCAAAATTACACATAAAAGGATGTAACAGTAGTATTTTTAGGAGATTTTTCATAGTAATTTTATTTATAATTGTTTAAAAAAATAAAATAAAATATTAATTTGGAATAATTTATATTTTTATTTTGCTTACTATAATTAAAAGTGCAACAATAAAGCTTGATTAGATTTGCGATTTTAAAGAAAATTATTCTAAATATATTAAAAATGCAAATCAAAATAATACTAAATTAAAATAAGCTGCTTTAATTGGATTAAAAATATTGGAAGGAAAATCAACTTGTGAAGGTATTCCATTTTTTATTTATTATAATGTTTTTTTTTAAAATTAATTTTTTTAAAAATAAAAAAATTGTAATAGAAGAAAAAAAAAATGCAGATAAAAAATTGTAAAATGTAAAAAAAATAAAAATATTCTTAATTATTTGCATTAAAAATACAATTAAAAAACATAAATTTAAATGAAAAAAAAGAAAAAATCATAAAATAATGCAGATACAGATGAAGAAGATGAAGATGATTTAGAATTTGATGAAGATGAATATGATGATGAAGATTATTTAGAATATGAAAATGCTTAATAATAATAAATAAAATAAATATCAAATGAATAAGGAAATGAATAAAAAAATATAAACAAAAAAGAAAAAAAAGAAAAGGAAAAAGAAAGCAAAAAATTTGAAAAAATAAAATAAAAAATGACTTAAATATAAACAGAAAAAAATGAATAAAAAAAATTATAATCATAAGAAGAAAAGCCATAAAAAAATAAAAAACAGAAAACGATAAAAAAATAAAAAAAAATAAAAAAATTTAAATTTTGAAAGAAAACCAAAAAATAAAAGAAAAACTGAGAATTTGTTAGAAAAAAAAAGGAAAAGTAAACTAAAACAGAAAAAAAATTAAACTTATAATAATTCGAAGATAACCTCTAAGGCATATATAATAATCTAAGTTCTTTAATTGTATAATAAAATAAAGAATTTTTTAATTAATTAGACGTCTAATGTTAACTATTTGAATAAATGAATATAGATTGTATTGATTATATATAAACTAAAATCGGTAAAATATTTAATTCTTTATTATTATTACTTAGCTAAATAAAATGCGTAAAATAATATATATTTAACATTAAGAAAATAAAAAAAATAGAATGAAATTGAAAAACTTAAATAAAGAGTTCAATAAATAGTAGATAATATAAAATAAAAAGTTTTAACTGAAGCTTTAGGACTTAATTCTGGATTAGAATTAAGTTAGAAAAAAAGGTCTGCTAGTACAAATGGTTATATAAATACATTTTTTTATTTAATGAAAAATATATATATAAATATTAACAATTATATTATATTTAGATTACACATACCCTGCTTGTGAAAGTTAGTCAGATGATAAAAATAGCTTTTAATAAAATAATAATATTTGTAATATTATAATTTAAAAAGTTGATGATTAATGTTAAAAATTATCTGAAATCGAAAACTGTTTATTAAATGATTAAAAAAAAGATCAAGAATAACATTTTAGGAAAAAAATATGCAAAAAAATATTTCTTTTAATATAAGAAAATTATTAAATTAATAAAAATGTTGCATATGATTTAAGTATCAAAGTGGAAAATAAAATAAGGGAGCTTGATTAAAGTATAGATATTAATTATAAAAATAATATTAAAGGTTTAATAAGACTTTTAAAGGTATTTTTTTCTATATTTTTTTGGTAAAGAAAAATATTATTTTTATTTTTTAGGCGAAAAAAATTGGAATTAAACAACTTTAGGAATTAAATATGGATGATTTAATTAAATTAATATAAAAATAAAATGAGTTAGTTGATATAAAACTTCAAGTTTAAGTTACAAACGCTATAAGTATTGATAATAGTGATTGAAGGTGATAAAAAAAAGTATATACTTTATCAATAAAGAAAATATTAAATAATATTTCATATTTTTATTTATAATTTTTTTTGGTATATTTGAATTTAATTAAATAAAAATTTTAAATAGATTTTTTTTTTTTTTTATTTATTTAATAAAATGTTTTGTTTCGTTTAATTTAATTTTAAAATGTAATATATTTTATTAATAATATATTTAATATATATTTTAAATTGATAAATATATATATTTTAATTAACATATATATTATTTAATAATGACAATATTTAAATATCATAAACAAATAAAAAGAAAAAAAAAAATTAAATAATAATTATATTTTTTAACAAACAAATTTATAAATTATAATATTAAATAATAAATAAAAGTATAAAACTAAAATTATTGTATTAATAAAATTGTCCAATAATTATAATATAATATAAATATTTATCTATATTTATGAGATATTAAAGTATATAATAATATATATTTTTTTTTTTTTTTTTAACTTTTAAAATAATATGTAATAATAATAATATTTATAAATAAATGTATACCAAATAAATAATAAACAAAAAAACACTAATTTAAGATTATTTACAAATTTTTAAAATTAAAAAATAAAATAAAATCTAATTTAATGAAAATTTCAAAAAATTATTGGTTTTTTCTAAATGATAAGACTCCAATTAAAAATAATTCAATATGGAAAAAATGTAAATTATAAATAAGTTCAATAAAATAAAAAGATGAATAAATTGAAAGTGCATATTTTATAAACGCACTAAATAATTAAATAGATTATTAAAAAAATTCTATTATATAAAAGAAAATACTATATACTATTCTGAAGTAATAAATCATAATCAAATATATTAATATATATATATATATTTTTTTTTTTTATTGTATTTAATTTTATACTAAGTAATAAAAAAGTATTATAATTAAAGATTATTTGTAACTAAACTAAGTCTATGCAGAGTTTTATGAATCTAAAGTATAAATATTAAATACAGCGACATTTATATTATGTTTAAGGTAAAATTAATAATACGTGGAACTATTAACAGATAACTTATTTATATATTAATAATGGCAAAATTTATTAAGATAACGTTGTATTATGCTTGATTTTCCATTAATGTTTTCTATATAAAAGTTAATTGGAAAAGGCGCTTTTTCAAGAGTATTTTTTTAATAAAAACTTAAAATATTGAGTATATTATTCTTTATTTTTTACAAAAAGGTTTTTCTCGGAGTTTCTCGAAGTAATAATTAAAAATATGCAATTAAAATTATTGAAAAAGAATTAATTTCTAAATAAAAATAAGGAATAGTAAAAAAACAAATATTAAAATATATAAGATATATTTTTTAAAAAATTATTAAAATTAAGTTAATTTTAAATAATAGTAATTATTAAAAAATGAAATTTAAATAATGTAAAAATTAAATAAGATATAAAAGTGTTTGAAATTAATAAGTGTATATGAAACAGAAAATTCAATAAATTTAATATTAGAATTTATAAAAGGAGGAGAAATAATTAATAAGATTTTACAAAAAAAGTAATATAATATATAAGACGCTAAAATATTAATGAAAAATATTCTTTAAACTATTTAATAAATTCATAGTAACCATATTATTCATCGAGATTTAAAACCAAATAATATATTAATGAATAATCCTGAAGATCTTACTAATATTGTAATTGCAGATTTCGGTTTAGCCACATTTGATTAAAGTATTTGTAAAGATTATATTTATGTCCATTGCGGGACTCCTGGATATATTGCTCCTGAAGTATTATATTATAAAGAAGGTAATATATTGTATGATAATAAAGTTGACATTTTTAGTTTAGGAGTAATTTATTACTTTTTGTAATTTTAAATTTATCAATATTTATTAAATATAATTTTTTTATACTGAAAAAAAATAAAAAAAGACTAACTGGATAATAACCTTTTAAAGGGTAAAATAATGGTAAAAATATAACTTAATAAAAAATGTGAAATAAACTTTGAAATTCTTGAAAGAACCGAGATTTCGGAAGAAAGTATTTTTTTATAAAAAATAAACTAAATTTTTTATAATAAAATACTAAAAAAAAAGACGTAAATTTAATCAGAGTAATGCTCTCTAAAAATCCTTTACATAGACCTTCAGCTTTAGAATGTTTAAATCACTCTTTTTTAAATAAGAATTATATATGGATTTATCTTTGACTAATTAGTTTTAATAATAATTAATTAATAATATCAATAAGTATTTTTTTTTTTAATTAAAAAAAAGACAAGTTAATTTTAATAATTAGATAAAAATCTTTAGATGGCTTACACGAATTAAAATTATCTACGGAATCAAAAGAAATAAGCAAATATTTATATTGGGTAAATCCTTAATATAGAGGATAAACAATTACTTTATAAAGTTTTAATAAGTTTTCGTTTGTTTCAATATAAAATACTTAAGAAAAAGATAGTCCACCTACGAGGCCTAAAACTAAAAACCAATTTGCAAAATAAAGTACAGTAGAACTTATGGATGATATGTAAAATAATTTAGTTAATAGATAAAAAAGTAGTAGTTTAAATCAATAATTAAATTAAAATAAAACTTAATAAATTAATATTCTAAGAAATACTTTAATTAAATAAGCTAATAATAGTAACTTCTAAAATGATTTATAAGAAGATCAATAAAAAATTAGTAGTAAAAATATAGATAAGTATATTAGAATATTTGTATTATTTGTAAAAAAATATTTTAAAAAAATAAAAGATTAGATGATTAAGAAGAAATTTAAATTATAATGATGAGGAATTTTAAATTTAATAGTTAAATAATCTAATTATTAAGATATTCTTATAATAATATGTAAAATAAGATTTTTTATGAGAAAATAGTGCACTAAAAAAAATAAAATAAATTAAACAATTATTAAATATATTTATAAAAAGGAATAATTAAAAAATAATTATTAATACAATAATAATAAAATACAATAAGTAAACTTATAGTGTTTATTAATTTTTATTTATAAAGTTTTATATTTTTTATTTATTTAATTGTATTATGAACTTAAATATTTATGTGGTATATAGTTTTATAAAGAAATAATAAATAAAAAAGTATAATATATATATATATATATATATATATATATATATATATATATTTATAAAATTCATTATATTTGTTTAACTAATTTTTAGGCTAAACATGTTTTTATTAATTGATTTATGCTAATTTTTTTTATAAAAATATCAATATTTATAAAATTAAAAACATGTTAAAATAAAATAATGAAATTTTATATTGTCCATGTCAAATAAAATCTCACCATTTTACTGATATTAAAGAATTTTATAATCATATCATGAGTTGTATCGAGTTACATAAAAATAAAAATTTAGTTTTTAATGTATGTAGAAATAATTTTTTACATCTTTCATTAAATAATGTTAATTAATAGTAGAAATGTTGCTAAAAAAAACATTAAATATTATCTAATTTATAAGATAAAATCAAAAGCGAAAATTTATATAATTATTTTGGATAAATTATTAAAATAAATAATTAAAAATAAAATGGTAATTCTTTTTATGAATATGATTAATAATAATAATATAAAGGATCAATATTAAGAATGTTTAAATTTTATGAAAGCGAAAGAAACTTGGACTAGAAATAAAAAGAGTTTGAAAAATGTATATTAAAATATAATTAAATTACTGTAATTTAATAAGAAAATGAAAAAATAATTTTTAATATTGTTAGGAATTACTAATTAGCTTAAATTAATATATAAAATAAAACTTTTAATGTAAGAAATAATAAAAACATTTTAGATTTAAGAAAATTAAATAAATAAATAATTGCTGAAATATAAGTAAATTAAATAACATCAATTTTTAATTAAAATATATTAAATAATTTATAAAACAAATATATTCTTATAAGTTGTGATGAAAAATAATTTATTATATTCAATAAAGATAATTAAATTTTAGGTCCTTTTTTAAAATATGATAATTTTGGAATTATTAGACTTAATAGTTTTGATTTTATTTAAGAAGAAATAAAAATAAAAAAATAAAAAAGTAAAAAGACAAAACTTATTCAAAAAAATCGCAAACTTAAAGAATTTTTAATCCGTGAAAAAGTTATTTACAATAAAAGAAAAAGAAAAATTTTATAAATCAAAAAAAATCAAAGACAATTAATAGATAAAATTACTATTTTAATTGAATGAACAGAAAATTATATATATTAATTAATTAAACTTATATTTTTTTATTAAATAATTTAAAATAATAAATTATATGTATAAACAAACAAATTAAAAAAAAAACTCATTTTCAACCATTGCAATTATTACTATAATCATCTTATATTCCTCTATAATTATGTAAAGTCATAAATCTGCAAATAATAAGAACTCCGCACATTATTATAGTATAAGGTGTTTATAATTCATAAACATTAAGCATTAAAAAGGCCATAATTACTAACATAGAAGATGTAGTCATATCTTCTTTTCCTGAATGCATCCATAATAAAATAGCTGTAGCAGTTACAATACCAATAGATACATATGTTCCTCCTTTAAGAAATTTTTAAAGGTTAGTACTTCTTCTATAATCATCCCAATAGGGGAGGATAGCTTAAATGAAAAAATATGAAGGCATAAACATAAACAAGTAACCAAAAACAGCCCCAAAAAATCCATGTGAAATAGCTCCTATATAAGAAGCTATATTCAAGGGAGGTCCTGAAATAGCGGAAACAATAGAAAATCCATTATAAAACTAAGATTCATTAACTAAATTAAATTATATGGATTCTTTAAGTAGTATAGGTATAGCAAAATGGCCACTTCCAACAATAATAGAGCCTGTATAAAAGCAAGTAAAGGAGAAGTTAATGAATTTATTTTCAGTTGAGAAAAAAAGGAAAGCAAGTATGAAAAGAATTGTGAAGTAAATTTATAAACTTTTTTTAAGGAAAGATTGTTTTAGGAATTCTAATGGATTTTCATTTTTTTCGTCTATATAGGAAACTCGTAATTATTTACAAGGCTTTTTTATCTTGTCTTTATAATTTGGAATTATTAAATTTACAAAACAGCCTGTTAAAAGTAAAGAAATCATTTATAGTGTTGAATTATAATTTATATATAAAATTGTTGAAATAAACATTATTATATATGCGTTTATATCTTTTTCTATTTATTATAAGTATTTCCATGAATTTTATACTACAATTGCTACTGATGCTGCTTAAAAACCGTAAAAAGCTAAAGATATAAAACAATGCACTTAATGATTTTCTGTTGATGTATAATATTCATTCATATATCCCATTATTGACATAAATATCATTCCTGGTAACGAAAATAATAAAAAACAAATTAATCCTCCTAATGGGCTATTTGTTACTAATGAACCTTTTTTAATTGTTTTGTATTTTTTTTTATTGCGTTTTTTTTTTTTTTTACCTTATAGTTATACACATTTAAGAAATAACTGAACCTGGTATGGCACATGAAATTTAATATAATTCATCAAATAATTCTTTATCTATCCATTTTAAATTTTTTACTACTAATATTTCTAATTTATTTACTTACATCATTGGGCCTCCAACACTTTAAAAACCAAATTTATACATTGATTTGATTAATTACATATAAGTTATGTTGTTTTATATGTTTAGATGTGACTATTATCGAATTAAACGAGTTTAAATTTAATGCTAATCTTCTGGTTATATATTTTGATTAAAATTATTATCAGTTTAGGTTTAGTGATAATGATTTTCTTCTTATATTTAATTTTAATGCATATTTTTTATTTAAAATTAATTTTTTTTATTTAAATTTATTAATTGAATTATTTTTGATCTCTAGAAAAAAGTTTATAATTATTTTGTAAAAAAAAATAATGTAATTTATTTTAATAAAAAATATAAATATTTTTAACTAAATAAAAATATTGAAAATATATAAATAAAAAAAACTGATTTAAATTAATATTTTTTTTTTTAATTAATTATTAAATAAATATTAATTAATTAAAAATATAAAAATTGTGGTTGGTGAGTTTCGATCTCACTACCGCAAGAGCCACAATCTTGCACTCTTCCGATTGAGCTACAACCACATAATATTAATTTATACTTAATTAAAATAAATATTTAATTAAATCTTAATGATTTTGAAGTCAAATATAAGTAAGTCATTTTTAATTTAATTTATTAATAACAAAAATAAATATTTTAAATTTTAAATATATATTTTTATAGATATTTTAATAAATTAATTATGTATTAATAATAATAAAAAAAAAAATCGATTCTTATATTTATTTATATAAAACAATTATTAATTAAGATAAAAATTATTCATTGCCTATATATATAAATTTTATAAATGAAAAAAAAAATATTAAAGTATTAAAAACTAAAGCTAAAATACATAAGTATATATTTTTTATAAATTTAATTATATATCTACTTTTTATTTTATATAAAATAAAGTTCTAAATCTGTTTAAGGATCTTCTTACATTATAATTTTTTATTAAACTAATTTATTAAATGCTCTTAATAAATATTGAGGCTTTATTTCAACTTTTATATATAGTAAAAACAAGACAATATTTTATTAAAAAAAGAGAGGAGAATTATTATTTTAGTCGTATATTCTAGATTTTATTCTGTTTTTCTTTATTTATTTAATCAAATAATATGCTTTTTACCATTAAATTTTAACATTAAAAAAAAATTAAAGTAATATATGTTCTCTTCACTAAAAATAATAAATAAGTTAATAATAAGCCAAAAGAGAGAAATAAAAAATCAAAAAAATAAGATCTCAAGTAATCAAATTACATAAAGAAAGGGTTTAAAAATCAATAGAAAAAAATAATGAATAATGAAAATTAAATTTATTTAAAGTCCTAATGTGAACATATTTTCTTAAAATTAAATTGAAGAAATTATAACATTCATTTTAGTTGAAAAACATAGACTATTTTTATATTTTTTTAATTAAATATTTACTTAAAAGAACCTTAGAAATTCACATATTTCTTTTTATTGTATATATTTTATTGATTTTTAACTATTAATGGATATCTAAAAATCTTTTTTAACTTATAAAAATAAAAAAACTAATTAAAAAATAATTATTTTTTGAATTTTCTCTATTTAAGCATTTAATATAATTTTTGATATTATTTTTTAAAACTCGATATTATTGAATTTAAATAAAGATTTTTTTCATCAAATATTGTTTATTTGATTCTACTAATTCTATATTTTTTAATTATAAAAGTAGATTTTCATATTTTAAAAAAATCGAATAAAAAGAACGTATATTTACAAAAAAAATATAGTCTTTAAAAGTTTCCTAAATAAGATTATTTTTATTAAAATTTTATTGCTCTTAAAAAATTAATTTATTCTAAAGTGTTTTTGTTTTTTGTTTTAATCATATTTTAAAAATTCCGTTATTTATTTGAATTAAAACAGTGGTTTTTTTCAAAAAAAAAAAATTGATTCCAAAAGCGACTCTTTTTTATTTAAAATTTAAAGGGAATTTAGAGGCAATTTTACATTCAATTTATTTACAAAAAATTAACGAATTTTTGGTCAAAATTACATATATAGGTAGTTTTAAATTTAAATATTTAAGTCTATAATAGTTAAGTCTTTTAAAAATGTCTAATTTTATTTCTATTGGTCTACAAAAAAAAAAAGTTTTTCTTATATTTATATGTGTCTGATAATCATATATAGAAAAATCACCAGTATTAAATGATATAATTAAAAGAATTTTTGAATGAGTTAGAAAGATTTTAATTAATTTTAAATTATTATTTAAGTTTAATTCGAATAATAGTCTAATTTTTATTTAAAAGTGGTTTTATATAAAAAAATTAATTATGTAATTTAAAAAAATAAAGAAACTATATTTATTTTTGTTATATAAAAATTTTATATTTGAATTATATAATTAATTTATATAAGAATCGATGTATTTATAAATCTATTTATAATCTTATTTAATTTGTATTTTATTTGAATTTTTTCTTATTTATTTTTAGTTCATTAAATTTAACCATCACCTTATTGTAATTTTTGAATTAACTATATTTATTTTTTTATAAAAAGAATAATAAAATATAATAAATATATATTTAAATACTTTTATTTCTAATTATTTAATATTTTCTATTGATTTTTAATATATATGAGTAATATTTTCTAATTAAGCAATTTTTTAAATAAGTACTTAATTTTATTAATTTAATTCATTATTTTTATTTTCGGATTATTACTTATACATATCTCTTTACATTTACCTTTTTTTTTGTTATTAAAAAAATAAGTTAAAATAGTTTTTTTTTTTATTTTTTATTTATAAAAATAAAATAAATAATATAATATACAAATATTTGATTTCATCTTATAAATTATTAATTTGATTTTAAGAAAAATTATTATTATTTTCAGTGTTTGTTTTTCCATAATTAGAAATTTTATATAATAAAGAATCAATTTATTCTTATTATAAACTAAGCATTTGTTTATATTAATCAACAAGTTATTCGTTTTTTGAATTTTAATCAACAAGATACTTATTTATTTTTTTTTAAAAAAAAAAAAAACTTAATTTATATTTTCAAAATAAAATATAAACATTACTTATTATTAATTTTTATAATAATTATTATTATCTTATTTAGATTAAATAAGCTCTATATTATTAAGTTTAATTTTTTCGTTTTCTTCTAATTTTAATTCTAAAATTTCCTTTAATTCTTTTATTTTTATTTATAATTAACTTATTTATATTTAATATGCAGTTCTTTCAGCCTCAAAAGTATTCGCATTTTCTATAAAGTTTTATTCTTGGATCAAAGTTATGTGTTTATTTAATATTTCGATTTCTTCATTTCTTTATTTTTCTATTTTTTTTATTTTTTCGTTCCAATCTTATTCTTATAAATTCTCGTTTTCTTTTTTTCTTATTATAATAATTTTTCTTCTAAATAAATTATTTTATTTCTTAATTCTTGTTCATTACTTTCTTAAGATTTTTTTGTTTTTTCTTATCTTTCTTCATTCCATTCATTGTTTTGTTCTTTTAATATAACCATTTCTTTTATTTGTTCCCTTATTTGGCAATTTAAACGTATTATTTCATCATTTAAATTATGTATTTATTATAATAAATCGTTATTTATTATATTATTATTTTATTTTCTTCTTGTTTATTTGATAATTTGAAAATTTTTGGTGATTACTTTGTTATTACGATTAAATGACGTGGAATCTTATCATCATTAATATTTTTTGAAGGAGAAAATACGAATTCGGATGTGTTTGGCTTTTTTTCGGTTTATTATTAGTTATTTTAATGCCGTAATATGTTTTCTTTTTATTTTTTTATTGTACTAGTACTTGCAATATGATAACTTTATGTGTTTTTTCTCATTTTTTTTTTGGTTTTGTTATGGTTTAAATTTTTAATTTATTAATTTTATTTTTTATGTTTTACATAATTTTATTATTTAATTTAATTAATTTATTGATTGGATAAAGTTTTAACTATCCCTTTTTTTTTATTATGAAATATATATATATATATATATATAAAGTGTTTTCTATTTATTCATTTATAATATTTTTTATTCATTTTTTAAATAATAAAAGGAAATAAATATTGTATTTTTGAAGAATTCGTTAATAGTTTAAAGTATTTTTTTAAATAATATTAAATTTTATTTATTGTTATTAAAAAATAAATATACTCTGTTATAAAATAATAAATATACTCATCAAATTGACAATAAAAAAATATTAATAAAATAATAGAAAAAATACATAAATTTATATCATAAATATTCGAAAATTAAAAAGATTTAAATATAATACAGTAATAAAGATTAGCCATTTAAAATAAATATATATTACATTTTATAAAAAATATTTAAATTTAATCTAATAACTTAAATTAAAAAATATTTCATTTAAAGTAAGCCTTAAAAAGTTATATTAAAATAAATATTTTTTTTTAATATAACTAAGATTAAATCAATAAATTAAATGAATATAATGTGGTTTTAGCTTAAATCTTTAAGAGTAAAATATTTATGTTATTGCATTCATATAATATATAATTAACAACTAATTTTAATTTTTTTATTAATATATATGTATTATGAAAATTAGTTATTGTTTTTTATGTTTTTAAAATAAATATTATTTATTAGTTTTTTGATAATTATTTAAATATTTCATTTAAAATATAAATTTATCATTATTTTCGATATAATAATACTTTTATTTTATAAAAAAAAAAATATTTTCTAATGTTTATTATTTCTTTCTTTCTACAAAATAGATATATATCTTTTAATTTTTTAAAAGTATAAATTAAAATACTGGAAAAATAACTTTATATATTTCATGGAGAATATATAATTATAATAATTTAAAAATAACAAAATTATTTAATATGAAAAAAAGAGCCATTTATTTAGAAAAATAAAAAAATAGTAAAATCTTGTTTAATTCTCAAAACCCAAAAAAAATAAAAAAAAAAATTTAAATAAATAATTCATAAAAATAAAATACAAATATAAAAAAAAAAAATATAAGAAAAAAAAAAAAAAAAAATAATAGAAAAATAAAAAAGTTCTTTAAAATTTTAAAATTTAAAAAATATTTATTATATTATTATATAAAAACAAAATCAATATATATTTCAAATAAAATATATATTTTATTTTTTTTAAAAAATAAATAAATAATTAAATCATTTTTTTTTAGCTACAGTCTTAGAAAGCCATTCTAAACCTTCGAATAAACCTTCTCCACTAAGTGCACAAGTACCTTAGATAAACCATTCACGTCCTCTAAGGTTATGTAATCCTAATTTTTCAGTAATATCAGTAACATTCATGACACCCATATCTTATTTATTGGCAAAGACAAGTACAACAGCGTCTTTTAATTCATCTTCAGAGAGCATTCTTTATAATTCTTCTTTGGCAATATCAATACGTTCTCTATCAGAAGAATCAACAACGAAAATAAGTCCCTAAGTTCCTTAGAAATAGTGACGCCATAATAATCTAATTTTATCTTAACCACCTACATCCCATACTGTGAATTTTATATTTTTGTATTCAACACTTTCTACATTGAAACCAATTGTAGGAACACTTTATACAACTTCTCCTAATTTCAATCTGTAAAGGATTGTTGTTTTACCTGCAGCGTCAAGTCCTAACATAAGAATTCTCATTTCTTTTTTACTAAAGAGCTTATCAAAAAGCTTTGAAATTTACATACCCATTTTTTTAAGGTTTTTTTTTTTTTATTTAATTGTTTTTAATTTTTTTTATTATTAATTAAATTTATTTTTCTTTTTTAGTATATTTTTTTCATTAATTTTTTTTTTTTTTTTTTCCACAAGGAAAAATAGGATATTGCTTTTTATTAATTAAATTAATATATTATTGGATTTTTAAAAATAAGTTAAATTATGTATAAATTTTATTAATTTTAACTTTTTTTTTTTAGGATATGAATTAAATTTTTTTATATTCAACCTTATTTCTTAAATTAAAATATAAAATATATAAAAAAAATATGACGATAATATATATATATAATAACATTTAATTTTTAAAGTTATTTTTTTTTTGGAAAAATAATTAAATTATTTTAATTTTCCTTTTTTTATTAATTATATGAATAAAATATAATTAAAAAATTAAATATTAATATAAAATAAATTAATTTCATGTTTTATAAAAAAATTAAATTTATTTAATTTATATTATTATATATGATAACATATCATTATTGTAAATTTTTAGATAAAAATTAAAAAAAAATAAAAAAATATTTTAATCATCTGTAAATATGAAAAAAAATAGTTATAATAAATATAAATATAAATAATATCAAACTTATTAAAAATAAATATCTATTTATAAAAAATATTATTTTCTATATTATTAAAAGTATTATATTTAGAAAAAATAATAAATAATTTGTAAAAAAATATTTATTACTGATTTAAAAACACTTATAATTATAATTTTATATTTAAATTATTACGTGAATATTAATATCAAACATATTAAAAAAAAATTAATTTTGGTTGGTTAATTTAAATTTCATAAAAAAGAAGTAAAAATATTGCAATAATAGATACAAGATAAAAAAGATATTATTAATATGAATCTTAAAAATAATAAATAAAAAAAGTTTGTTAAGTAAAATATTTTTATAATAAATGAATGAAAAAATATATGTTTCAATAAATAAATGGTTATATTATAAATATAAAAAAAAAATATATATATTTTATAAATAAATAAATATATATATATATATATATATATATATATATATATATATATATATATTCTTTTTTCTCTTTAAATTATTTTTACATATATATTTATATATTTATATTTATTTAATTTTATCTTAGATTTTTTTTAATATAATACTATGTTTTTTTAAAAACTATTTTTATAATAAAAAAAATGTTATTTTTTTTTTTTTAGTTAATATTAAATATAAAATATAGAATGTAAATCAAAATAATTTTTTAATTTAAAAATATATAAATATTATTAAATTATTTTTTAATTAAAATAAATTATTATATATAATTTATCTATAATATTTTATATAATTTATTTAATAATATTTTTTTTATATATCTATTAATATATTTTTTATAGATTATTCTTTTTTATTTATATATATATTTTTTTTTAATATAAAATCAAAATATTCATTTATATTTCATTTAAAATTAAAAATTAAATGAAATAAATATTTTATTATTTTATAAAAGAAATATCCTTATTTATTATTATTATATTTTTTTTAATTTTTTTTAATATTTTAATTAAAGATTTTTTTGTTACCAAATTTCTTATATTAATATTTTATTACTATATAAATAAAAGCCTATAAAAAAAAAATTATGTCAAATATAATTTATTAATTATCAGAATAGTTACTTAAAGTTTCTAAAAATCACTAACTTCCTTAAGACATCCAATTAATTATAGATTAATTATTTAATTCAGTATAAACTGGCTAAAAATATGAAAATTAATAATGTTTAAACTTTTCTTATCCTCCTTTAACTATTTTAAATGAAAATTTATAGAAATTTAAAGAAATAGCATCACAATTTGATAGTAAAGAAATATTATCTTTGGTAAAATTAGATATATATTTTTTTTTTTTTTTTTTTTTTTAAAATATCAATATATTATGATAAATAAAAGACACATATATCTTTAGATATATTCAATATGTTAAAAATAATAATTCAATTTTCATAAAACAGTAAGAAATTAAATTAAGAATAAATAAAAGAAATACAGAACTTAATATAATAAAAAACTATATCTTTTTCAAAATTTAGTATAGAATATAATTATCATTCAAAAATGATATAAGATGGTATAAATTCAATATTCTGGGTTTTTTCAGTATAACTTTATATATTAAAAAAACACACAAAAATATATGTATTTAATTTTTTGTCAATAAAGGAAATGCCAAAATTATCTGTTTAAGGATGTGTTGAATCTGCTGAATTTAACGGATTAAAATTAAAATAATAAAAAAATCCATAACTTAGTGAATGGACTACTTATTTTATTAATGCAGTTAAATCTTAAATATGTAATTTTTATTTAAGTTTTTTTTAATTTAAATATTGCAAAAAATAGAATACATATAGGATAATTTTTCCTCAGGTTTATTATGGAATATTTAAGGTTAAGCTTAATTTTAAACTTTAATGTAAGCATTAAAAGGAGAAATTCAATTAGAATAAAATCAATAATTATAAAATCCTTAATAATCATAATTTTAATAAAATACACTTTAATAATAAAATAATTAAGATAATTGTATTCCTGAAATGAATGAATTTCATAAAAATTTAGAAGCTTTTATATAAGCAGGAAAATAACTAGAACCTGAATTACAAGAACTTGTTAAAAAATAAAAATTATTAATTAACTTTAATTTATTTATATATGTAAATTAGACTAATTTAATAAATAAAGCTTTCTAAGGAATGAAAATAGTACTTCATTATTCAAAAAAATTAAAAAAAGTTCCGAATAAATAACAGAACTTTAAAAATTATTCCAAGAATATATTTTTAAACCTTTAAATAAAGCAAAAGCAGCAATTAATTTTGGAGATCATTTCAAAACAGTTTGTTAAGGAATAAATTCTATATGTTGGATTTTTAGTGTATTTTTTAAAAAATATATTATAAATAATATTATATACTTAAATACATGTTTACATATATATATATAAAAAATAAATAGATATAAATTTATATTTATTTATATATTTATATATATGTTTATATATTTATACATAATATTATTTATATCAATATATAATATTTATAAGGATATTCCAATTTAATCTATTGATGTTGCTATTGAATCATCTGAATTTTATGGTAATAAAGTTTTATTGCAAAAAAAACCGGAATATACTGTTTGGTATAATACTTTTAAATAAACTCTTAAAGCATTAATTCGTAAAAAAAAAAAAATTGTTTTTGTTTTGTTTTTATAAATAAATAAAAAAATAGCTTATGTAAAATAACATTATTCAACTGGAATTATTTGGAATTTCAAAGGTTCTTCTGATTATAATGAATTATATTAAGTTTTAAAAGGAGATAAGCCTTTTTCTACTTAAAATAATAATTCTTTTTAAGTTTAAAATAGTACTCAACCTATAGATAATCATCATACACCTACTCCTATGGGCGTTCTTCCTCCACCTCCTCCCTGCTTTGAAGCTATAACTGGTGGTATTAAATTAGATTTTTAAAATCAAAATACTAATAATAATGATTAAGATTCGAGAGCTGCTCTGTTTGCAGCTTTAAATGTAGGAGAAGATGCTATAAAATAACGTAATATAAAAGAAATATTTTAAATTAAATTACTTATAAAAATCAATATGAATTTATAGATTTAAGGCATGTTAAAAAAGGAGAAAAATATGAACCAGAAAAAAAACAAGAAAATAAATAAAATCACGGAAATAATTAAATAAAAAATATTAATCAAAAAGCAATTGTTAAAAAAGAACCTAAAAAATATTAAAAAGATAATTGGTTTGTGGTATTTTAAAAGTCTTGTTTTATTTTTAAAAAAATATTTCAAATAAAAAAGGAAAATTACTCTAAAGAAAAAATAGAATTTACAATTAATGATATTTAAGTAAAATAATCTTTAATAATCGAAAATTGCGATAATTGTTAAATTTATGTTTCAGTGAAAATTAAATCTATTTTTTTGAATAAATGTAAAAAAACAGCATTAATATTCGATGTATAAATATATAAATATATAAATATATATATATATATATATATATATATTTTGGTATATATCATTATTATTTGTATTATTTAATATATTTTAAATATTTTTTTGTTTTATCAAAGAGTCTTGTTTCAGGTGTTGAAATTGTTGATTGTTAATCTTGTTAAATATTTGTTAGATATTAGTATATTTTTTAATTATTTATTTTTATTTTTAAATTAAAGATCGCCTTGTATTTAAATCGATAAATCTGATTCTGTTCATGTCACTTTTATGAAAGAAAAATAATGTGATGTTATAACTTGTAAAAGTTCAGGAGTTAATCTTACTTATGCCTTAAATGAAAATGGAGATTACCAAGTATTTTTATTTTTGATTATATATTTATATTTATATTTATTTTTAGAAAGATACTAATATTCCGGAATCTTTTATTACTAAATGGGATAGTAAGTATAACAAATTTATAACTACTAATTTAGATACACATTCTGGCTGATTTGCGAATTTTTTTTTATTATATAAATTAATAATTTTATTTATTTTAAAAAAAATAGTAATAAATAATTCATAAATTTTAAAAGATAAATTGATTTAAAATATATATAAATAAAATAAATTTGATAAATTTATTCATAATAAAAAAAAAAAATTAAATTTTGGTTAAAAAAAAACAAAATAAAAAAAACAAGATATGAGAAAAAAAATTTCTTAAAGAACGAATCAAACTATTCCCGGTTTTTTGTCAAAAACATATAAAATTTTAGAAGTAAAATAATAAATTTATTTTATTTTAATTTTTTTTTTTAAAAAATAAATAAATAAGAATTAAGAATATTATGATATTATATGTTGGAATGATGATGGAAAAGCCTTCAAGATAAAATAACCAAATGAATTAGCTGAAAAAGTATTGCCAAAATATTTCAAAACTAATAATTTTGCATCTTTTGTTAGATAAGTATAATTAATAATTATAATATATTATTTTATTTAAAAAAAAATAAAAATATTTATATTTTATTTATAATTATTTTAGTTAAATATGTATGACTTTCATAAAGTTAGACATGATAGTGAAGAAAATGAATGGAGACATAAATTATTTAGAAAAGGATATCCGTAAATATATATATATATATATATTTATAAAATAGATATATATATATATATAAAATAAATTTATAATAATAATAATTATATAATATTTATATTTTTATATAAATTTAATTTTTTGTAATATAATAAAAAAATAATTATTTTTAAATTTTTGTCAATATTATTTATTTATTTTTAAAAAAGGCATTTATTATGTGAAATCAAAAGAAAGATTCATGACAATCAAATTCTAGTAGAAACATTTTCATAATCTTAAAAAGAATAAAACCAAATAGCAACATAACATATACAATAAGAAGTAAATATGAAAAATAAATATAAATATATAAATAAATATATAATTATATATATATATATTATATATATATATATTTATTTCTTTTTTAAATATAATTCTTAATCAAATTTTTTTATATAAGTTGTAAAAATACAATCAAAATAAGAAAATTTAGAAAAAGCTTGCAGTGTTTTAATAGCATAAAATGCATAGATTCTCGCTGATAATAGATTATTATGGAGTGAACTTAATAAAAAAAGTATTTTATTATATTTATGATCGTTTTTTTGTTCTTTAATATATTATTATCTTCTTTTTTTATATAAAACAAGATAAAATAATCAAAAAAAATAGAAAAACTTTTTAGTATATTTTTAACTTATATGGGTCCAAAATAAATTCCTGAGTTAAACTTTTTATACAATAATGTAAATAATGATAATGGTAAAAAATATAAAATTAGAAAAATAATAAAAAAAAAATAGATTTTTAATAAGATCATTTAAAATCTAGTTTCTTTGTTGATGAAAATTAAAATTATAAAGTTGAAAATAATTAAAATGAAAAATCTTTAAATTAAAATTAATAATTTAGAGCATTTAAAAGTAATAACAATTTTACATAAAATTTAATAGATAATTTAACTAAAAGTTATAAAGAGGAAAATACTTAAAACTGTAATAATTAAAATCTAGATGATTAAAATATAGACTTAATTGAAAATTATTATTAATAAAATTAGAATTTACTCCAAAATTTGTCAAATTTTGTATATTAACAAAATAAAGATTAAAATCAAAATAATATATAATAAGAAGAAAGCGAATAATAACCTTAAAAAAAAATAAAAAAATAAGAAAATGAAAACAATGATAATAATTTTTTAGAAAATGAAAATAATAATAAGTTAAATAATTAATAATTTAATAAGCTTTAGGTCGGATTAGCAAATATATAAAATTCTTCTTCAAATAAATTGAATATTTATAATTAAAAATAAAACAATGAATAGTATTAAATTAATAACTAATAAGAATAAAATAAATAATAAATAAATAATAATTAATTAGTTAATCAATATTGGGATAAATACAATAAATTTGTACATGAATAAAAAAATTTAGATAATAATTAATTTAATGATGAATGAAATGTATTTAAAATATTTAAAAAATCTAAAAACTTTAATGGATTATTAAGTTTATTTATTTTTATAAATTTATTATTTAAAAAAAAAAAAAAAAATAAATAAAATAAAAATATATATTTATATTTAAAAAAAAATATATAAATTATTTGTTTAATAAAATAGTTTTTTAGTTTATTTATAATAAAACTTTTAAAATAATCTATAAAATAATAATTAAACAAAAATGTTATATATATAGACAATATAAAATTTATATTATTAAATTAATATTAATATATATATTAATTTTTTTTTTTTATTATAGTAAATAATTAAATTTAATAATACAAAAATAAAAAAAAAACATAAATATTAAACTTATATATAATAATTTTATGTGTTTATAAATAAAATTATAATTAGAATTATATATATATATTTAAATAAATATCTTATTTATTATTTACTATATAAATAATTAATAATATTTTAATAATTAGAATAATATAAATACTTATATTAACAAAATAAAAATTATATTATATAAATATATATATATATATATAAATATATATATTTCTATATATTTAAATATATATGTAATCATATATATATAAATAAATTTTAATTATGAAATAGTTAATATTTCTTATATAATATTTATTTTTTATTATTTTTTATAAATATATCATATTATAAAACATTTATATAAATAGTATAAAATTAAAAATATTAATTTTATATTTATGAATAATTTTTTTTTGTTATTTTAAAAAATATATATTTAATTTTATTAATATTTTTTTTTTTTTTTTTATAAAAAATAAATAAATAAAAATATATACTATTATTATTAATTAAATAAATATATACATTATAAAACTTATACACTCTAATTTTAAAAATAATAAAAATTAAAAATGTTTGGATGGTTTGCCAAAAAGAAAATACCCGAATAATCTGTTTAAGAAGATGTAATAGATGATAAAGAATTAGAAATAAATGGAATAGATCCAGTCGATTAAATAGAAGACATACCTTCAAAAGAAGAGGCACTTACTGATTTTTCATGTGATTATCCAGGATATTTAGTATTAGATAAGGAATAAATACTTAATTTATTTACCAATTTTAATGGATATTAATAAACAGATGATACAAGACATGAATTAGGGCATAAAAAAGGAGGAAGAATATGTGGAGATATGGTAATGTAAGGAAAATTAAGATCCATAAGTAAAGAAGTAATTAAATAAATAGGTAGGAAAATCTTAACAGGATCTTTAAATTTAACTAAAATATCATTCCCAATAAAAGCTATGATTCCAAAAACTGCTTTAGAAACAGCTGTACATGCAAGTAAACATTTTTATATTATTAAAATAAATATCAATTATTTAATATTTTATTTTTAATCTTAAAAAATAAAGCTTGTCTTTTCCCATTCTATTTAAATAAAGCAGCTATTGAAAGCGATCCTTTAGAAAGATTTAAATATGTAATTGTTACAACCATTTCATCATTTTATTATACTAATACTTTCCTTAAACCAGTAAATATATTATGTACTAATATTTTTTTATTTTATATATATATAAATAAAGTTAAATCCTGTTTTAGGAGAAACACTTTAGGCAGAATTTAGAGATGGAACTTAAGTATATTGTGAGCAAATTTCTCATCATCCTCCTATAAGTTATTTCCTTATTTTTGGACCTAATAATTCATATAAATATTATGGAAGATATGATTATGATGCAAAAGCTGGTTTAAATTCTTTAAGTGTAATATTAAATTTTATTATTATATATTAATAATCATAAAATATATATATATATTATAGATTTATAATAAAGGATAAAGATCAATAATATTTAATGATGGGTAAAAAATAGACTTTGATTTTCCAAATGTAAATTAAAAAAATGGTTTTTATGTTTTAAATTTTATATAAGGAATAATATAGTGGAACATTAATAGGTACATTGAAATAAGAAAGTATAGGAAAAATGGTATTTTAAGATATTTAAAATGATTTAAATTGTGAAATTTGTTTTGGAAAAGTAAAGAATAAACCATCTGATTATTTCTAATCAACAATTAATAAAGGCAAACAATAAATTTGCTAAATATAAGGAACTTATTTAGGATATATTGATATTAATGATAAAAGATATTTTGATCATAGAGAATTTACACCTATTGCAGTATTATTTATTCATATATATTTTTTAATATAATTAAAATAAAAGATTGAAATGAAAAAAAACGATGAAACATTATCAAGTGATCACAAAAAAAGAAACGATTTAATAACTTTAAAATAAGGTAATATTAAATAAGCTTAAATAGAGAAAGAAATTATTGAAAAAGCATAAAGATATGATAATAATTTAAGAAAATAAAGAAGATGATATATAAAATAAAAAAAATTAATTATTATCAAAAAAAAAATATTTATTAAAATAATATAAAAAAAAAAATATAAATAAAATTAATATTTATATACAAAACTTATATTAGTAATTTTTTTTATTATATATATATATTATATATATATATATATATATATATATTTATATTTATATAAATAAAAATTATTAAATATAAAAAAAAATATTTATCATAAAACAAAAACATTATTTAAAATAAAAAAATCTATATATATATATTTATATATATATATATTTTTATTTAATATATTTATATTTTTATTCTACCCCTATTTATTATTTAAATTTCATTTTCCTAAAGGTTAATCAAAGAAATCAAGTAATTATTTTCCTGTTAATGTTTTTTCCGGTGAACAATTATTATCAATGATAAAATTTTGAGTATTTTTCAAAACATTAATTGAACGTTAATCATTTTAGCTTTATTAAAGGATTTTTGATTTTTACAATTCATATTCCATATCTCTATTAGGAGAACTACTTCCATAAATAATTTTTATTTAAGAAGGTGATTTTCCTGGAGTTAAATATTTAATTCTTGTTCCACTATTATTTTATTTTAAAGGATCTTCAATCCTCTATGGAGTTTACAAATATTAAGAATTAAACTAAATATTATTTGGCTATTATTGACTATTTATTAATTCAGGTGCAAATTATTAAAATTAACTTCCTGTTATTATTTTATTATTTATTCCACTTACATCTATATTATTTCCTATATTTTATACTCCTACAGGATTAAAACTGATATTTTATTATACACCTGTCTATGATACATTTACATTATTATAACTATTTTCTATTTAAGAAAGTTTCTATGTTCTTTTTACTTAATCTTCTGAACTATTTTAATAAGCTAAATAAGGCTCATTTTATTAATTAACGAATGTTTAATTATATTATTGATATTGGTAGTTAGATTAAGGTTGAGTGTTATAAGAAAATTAGTATGTGTTATTATTTTCTATAGATTGTGTTTAAGGATAAGAATATTAATTAGTTTGTTGAGGGTTATAGGATGTAGTTTGGGTTAATTAAGTATTATAATAATTATTTGTGGGATTCATTTTTTTTTATTTTTAATTTTTTTTTTTTTTTTAATTAAATTAATATTTTTATTTATTTAATTATTTATTTTCTTTAATATATATATATATATATATTATTTTTTTTTTTTTCTTATAATTATTTTATTATTTTTAATTATTATTATTTTACTTTTTTGTGAGGTTTTTATTTTATAACATAAAATTTATTTTAAATTTTCTAATTTGCTTCTATTTTTTATTATTATAATAATTTTTCATTAATAATTAAAAAATATGCAATATATATAATTATTATTTATTTACAATATAATGTATATATTTCAAGCAATTAAAAATATATATGTATTTTTAGAAAAGGATAAATATATTTTTTTAAATTATATATATGTTTTTATTATTAATTTAAATATACTTATATATATATAACCAATTATAGTTTATTGTATTATTTTTTTAAGGCAAACTTAATTTTTTTTCAAAGTTATATAAATTTAAAGATAGTAAATTTTTTTGTTTCATTTAATTAACTTTATATAAGTATTTTTGAATTTTCAAAATATTTAAAATTATTTTTATATAATAATAAATATATTATTATAAGTTTTTTATTTATAAATTATTTGCTTTTTTTATTATGAAAAATATAAATATTATTGAATATTTATATATCATAAGTATTTTTATATATTTTTTATATGTTAATCAAAAATTAAGAATTAAATAATGTTGTCTATTTTTTAATAGTTTTATATATTAAAATGATTAAGAAATTTCATAATTTTATTATATATTGAAAAACAATAAAAATATTATAAATATATTATATATAATATTTATTTTTTATGATTTTATAAGCTTTTTCTTCTAAAAAAAAAGTATATAGTTAATTAAATATATACTAAAAATAAGATTAGATTTCTTAAAAATTAAACTTATACAAAAAGTATTTATAAAAGGAAATATTTTTTTGTAAAAATAATAATTAATTTTTAAATTAAAAAAAAAAAAAAAAAATTATTAAATTTTTTAATAAAATAATAAAATCAATGAATATAATATAAATGGAAAAAAAAATATATATATATATATATATATATATTATTTAATTTTTTTTTTTTAAGCTTACAAAAAAAAAAAAAAAAAAAAGGAAAAAAAAAAAAAAACTACTCAATTAAAAATAAAATAAAATGTATACAAAATCCAAAACAAAATAAGCGGAATAAGATGCTAAAAAAGGTTAAAAATCAAAGGCAGTAATAAAAGAAGATTCTAAATAGAATTCTAAATAAGATTCTAATTAAAATTCTAATTAAAATTCTAATTTAAATTCTCGAAAAGACTCCAAAAATGATTCCAAAAACGAGTAGAAAGATTCCAATAAAAAAGACGCAAATAAAAAAGAATCAAATAAAAATGAGGACTACAAAGATGATAATAAATAAGACAATAAAAAGGATTCCAATAATGACAGTAAAAATCTAAAAGATCGAAAACGTACAGCATCATTAGATCCAAAAGTTTAAAATTAAAATAATATAAAAGTAGATGAAAGAAATAAAAGTTAAAATTAAAAACCTAAAAAACCATCTATGAATTAATTAATAACAGAATTTTATTTAGGTTAATACAAAGCACCTATTATAGATGTAGATATAATTGAAGTGCATAAATGGTTTAAAAATATCTATAGTTAAACTTTTTTTATTAAAAAAAAAAAGGAAAGGTTAATATCATTTATTAGATATAAATCATTCATATTTTCATTGGATATTTCCTCATTTTTAAGGTGATTCAGGGAAAAAAAGAGCAGAAATGTTTATGAAAAATGAAGTGGTAAAAAAAAAAAATTAGATTAAAATAAATAGAAAAAATAAAAAAAATAGATTGGAAAAAGAATCTTTTAAAGTTATGAATTAATGCTTGATTTTTATGGAATTGTAATTTTAGATTAAAAAAGTGGAAGTTTGGAAAGAGGAGAAAATTACAAAGAAAGATATTAGGAAACTTTCTTAAGACCTTTTACTAATGCAGATTTTAGGATTAAAAGAATACTTTAGTTTTTGAATTGTACAGGATATAGAGTTTATGCTATTGAACTTGTTAAATTTCTTGAAAAAGAAATCTTTAAACATTCAAAAGGTGTATATCCACCTTTAAAAATTCTGGAAAATATGTATAAAATTAATTGGTAATAATATGGATTTATTGATAATAATGATAAAAAGGCAATTGAATATATAGAAAATAAATGCATGTTCAATTTTAAAACTATATCAGAAGAATAAAACGTTTATATAAAGAATTTATGATTACTTGTTTATTAATAAATATAAATAATGGATTGTTTTTATTTTTTTTATAAAATTTCTTTTTTTTATTAGAAAAATATGTTATAAATATTTAAAAAAATTTAATTAATTAAAATTATAAAACTATTGTCATAAAAAAATATAAAAAATTAATTTTTTTTTAAAAAAAAATAAAATAAAATATATAAAATATTAAATATATATTAAAAATAAAAAATAAAATAAAAGTATACTATTAATAATATAAATAAAATATAAATTTAAAAAAATAATAATAATAATCATTATTGTATAATTATATATATATCTAGAAATTTATAATATATATATAAATATATATATATATATTTTTTATTTATATGAATATAAATATATTTTATATTTATATTATTATTTTTATTTTAATAATTATTATTTTCAATAATTTTATAAAAATAAATTTAATTATTTAAATAAATCTTATTTTTCTTGTTTTGATTACAATTTACCATTAATAGTTCCTTTACAAATAGCAATAGTTTCGTCAAAATTATTAAAATAAATATTATTATTTTAATTTTTTTATAGAAAAATGTGATAAACATTTATTTTTTTATATTTTCCTTCTACTTTACCTCTATAAACTCCATCTTTTAATAAACTAAATTTTTCTATAGATTCGTCAATTTCATTTTCATTACTAAAATTATGAATAACGATTAGTTCTGACCCATAACTTTTTTCATCTTGCAGCATTTTAATACAATCCATATATTTATTTTTATCTTCAGATTTCCATTAATTAAATAATATTACGTTTATTTGAGAAATTCCAAATAAAAATTGTTCTATTTTTTTATCTTAAAAACTTTGGCTTTCAATAAACCCTATTTTTTTTGCATTTGCTTATATTCACTTATTTATATCATTCCTCTACAAGATTAATATATATATTTACAATCGAAGAATTCTTTTTTTATAGAATTTATAATTGATGATTTACCAGAACCGGAAGGACCATAAAAATATACAAATAAGTCAAATGTATATATGTTTTCTAAATTTTAATCAAAAAAAAGGGAACCTCCATTATTTTTAAAAATCTAATTTTCTATTTTTATTATTAACTGTAATTAATTTTAGTTATTCTTTTAAATTTCTTTTCTCTAATTTTGCATTTATATTTTCTGGTATTAATTTTAGTATTATATTTCCAGATTTTAATTTTACTTTAATTTTTCTTCCTTTTCATCTTCATCTTCTTCTTTTTATTTTTAATTTTCTTCTTCTTTTTTTAATTCGTTAATATATATTTACTTTAATTATTCCTCATTTAATCTATAAGAACTTCCTTAATTAGTTGATAATTATTAAAGAATAGAAGATGTACTTTTTGTCTAAATTAATCTTTATGGTATTGTTAATTTCGTATAATCACTTTATAATGTTGGATAGCTGCTTTATCCACTTTTAAAAGGCTTTTGGATATTTGAATTATGTCTTCTATCTGACATTTATTTTTCTTCTTATTCTTTTTAATTTTTGATTAAAAAAAGACCATTTTAATTCTATTTTTTATTTTATTTTTTTAATATTTTATTTTTTTATATTTTACATCTTATATAATTTAATTGTTGTTTTTATCTAAAATGGATTAATAATTGTGTATTTCTAGATTTTATTATTATTATTTGTTTATCTATTTTATTTTATTTTAAAAAAAAAAAATGTTAAGATTATACATTTTTTCAAAAAAATATTAAGATTATACATTTTTTATTAAAAAAAATATTACTTGTATTATTTATTCTAAAATCTAATTCTTTTATATTTCTTTGTTTAATTATTACATAATTATTTTTTTCTCTTTTTCAAATTATTAAAATTCATTTTCATTAATTTATTTGTAATCTTTACAGGTTTATTCGTAAATTTTTATTTTATTAAGTGCTTCTTATAAATATTATTCTAATTATTAAATTTTGAATTAAAGAATATTAATCTCATCAATTTTTTGTTAAAATTATTCGTTAAAATATGTAACTAACCTTTAATCTTCGGTATTCTAATTAAGATATATAATAGGAGTTTCAGTAGATGTTAAAGGTGTTAACTTTTAAGATTTAAATTAATTATTAGATGAAATTGGGTTACTTTATTAATAATAGTTTAAAATTGATTTCATAATTAAAAAAATTTATTAATAAAAATTAAAAAATAAATAAGATATTATTTTAATTTTTATTTAATAATAAATTTAAAATTTTTATTTTATAAAATAATTATCAAATATATATCAAATATAAATATAAATATAAATAAAATTTTTATTTATATATTAATATAATACATAATTATGTTTATATTATATATATTTTTAAAAATATAAATTTTGTTTAAAAATGTAAATAATAAATATATAATAAATTTATCTAAGCAATAATTATGATATTTATTTATATATAATCTTATATTATATATAATTTTTTTATTTATTTATTTTATTTTTTTATATTTATTATTATTTTATAAAATATATATATCATTTTTGATATATAAATATAATATATTTAATATTATTTATAAAAATATAAATATATATATAAATATATATATATTTATATATTTATATATTTATACATTTTTATTTATATACATATAATTTAAATTATTTTTTCTTTATTTAATTTTATAGATATTTTTTTTTTGATATTAATTTTATTGATATATATATATATTTTTTATTTATTCCTTATATATTTTATTTTTTAATAATAATAAAAATAGTTATTTAATTTTTTTTTATAATATATAATTTATTAATATATTTTATATTTTTATAATATTATTTTATTTATATTTATAAATATAACCTAAATATTTTTTATCCTACTCTTTTTTTTTATTTCAATATATTGTATAATATTATTTATGATATTTATCCTAACTAAAATTAACAAGTTTTTTTAATATTAATTCAATTTATTATATAATTTTTAATTATAAATTACATATTTTATTACATATAATTTTTATTTTTATTTTTAATATATATAATTTATAATCCATTATTTTATTATTATGTATAAATTTTACTCTTTTAGAAATTTTTAATTTAATTGTAATATTTTTATGTTTTTTTTATAATTTTTTGATAATTTTTATTTTATTTGTAAATATGAATTAAATGTTAAAATGTTTAAAAGTTTATAAATATTTTTGAAATATAATAGTCTAATATAAAAAGTTTGATAAAAAACTTTTTTAAAATATCAATAATTTTTAATAAAATAATGTGCTAATATAATATAATTTTTATAAGTTTTATTTATATATATATTAATATTTTTTTATATTTTTTGATATTTAATAGAGGTAAATATTATATTGATTATAAATATAAAATTAATTGAATATTTATAAAAGCATGTTTAAATAATAATATAAACATTATTTATAATTAAAATTTCTATATATATATATATATATATATTTTTATAATAATATAAGAAATAAATATAAAATATTAACTTTTTTATATAAAATGTAATTATTTATATTACTATATATTTATATGAATAACTTAAAAAATAATATTTTATTTATTATATTTAAATATTTAATAATAAATATTTTCAATTAAGAATAGTAAAAACAAATAATCTTAATTATTTTTTTATATAAAATAATATAATTAATAAATTAAATATTTATCTAAAAAAATAAAATAAAAATAAAAAGCTAAAAAAAATATATATATATATTTTGTAAAAAAACAAAGACTTAAAAAAAACACATCTAAACTTAAAAAAAAAAAAAAAAAAAACATTAAAATTTAAATAAAATAAACATTTAAATCTTAAAAAAAAAAAAAAAAAAAAATAATAATAAAAAACTCACAGACAATCAAACAATATAAATATGAAATTATTTTTCAATCATTCTTTTTTACTTCATCTTTTTTTCATTTTTCATCATTTTATTATTAATATCTCTTGTTTCTTCAAAGACTTTTTTGAATCTCTAAAACTCATCTGCATTAGTAAATCTTCCGCATAATTTTTCAACAGCAGGTTATTCATCTGAAGCATCATAGCAAGTCCAAACCCATGATTTATCATGAGTTTTTAAAGGAACTAATTAGCACATTGGTTCTACGCCTTAAACAAGGAAATTTGCAACAATTTTATGAGTTTTATCTTATCTCATTAAAATTCTAATTTTACTAGTTTCCTTATTTTTTAAGAATTTTAAATCTCCAGCACCTCTTTCTTTTAATTCGTTTTCTCTCCATCTGTATAATTTTACTCTGAATTTATCATGTACATCTTCATTTTCTTCTCCTGTTACTACAGCTACTTCGGGTAATTCTTATACTGGTTTGAAATCTCCAGCACATTCGGCTTCGGGATCGTAATTTTCATCTACATCTTCGTGGGTTTCTGGTTCGTGTTATTCAGCCATTTTTTTATGTTTTTTTTTTTTTTTGTATAAAAAAAATTTATTTAGTTTTGTTTTTTTTTTATAATTATTTATAATTTTTTTTTTATAAATTAGAAAAGTTTTTATATTTTTTTTTATTTTTATTTTATTTTTTATTTTTTTTTGCTAAATGAATAAAATAAAAATAAATTTAGCTTTTTATTTTTAAACATTTTTAAAATAAAAGAAAATATTATATTTATTTAGTTTTTTTTATTTTGCTAAAATAAATTAAATCTAAATCTTTATATTTATAAAAAAAAGGAATATTATCTATATATATATTTAATAATAAGCTATTAATTACTTTTTTATATATAAAAATATTAATTTTTTTAGATTTAATAAAATTTATAGGAATAATATTTAAATATGCAAATTATATTAAAGAAAAAAGATAAAGTTTTTAATATAATATTTTATTTAAATTAAATAATAATAATATTTGAAAATATTAAAAAAAGGTAATTAAAAAAATATATATAATTATATTTATATATATAATATATATTTTTAACAATTCTTTTTAAAAGAAATATTTAATTAAATTAAATATTTATTTATAGATATTATTATAATAAAAAAATTAATTGATAAAATAAAAAAAATTATTATTAAATATTTAAAAATTAAGATTAAAATAATATATAGTTTATAATATTTAAAATAAATAAAAAAAAATTAACTAAAGACTATTATATATATAAATTTTATTAAAATATATATTTTTTTTTTTAATATTTCATATATATATATTTTTTTTTCCCCCCTCTAACTTATCATTTAAATTATCCACATAACTTTTTATGAGTTTCCGATTTTTCTTCATGTTAAGCCATAGTATTTGGATTACTGAATTTTCTCTTACATAACATACAAATTTTGACCTTACTTTTTTCTAATATGATTAACTCTTTGATTTTATTTAATTCGTTTCTTGCAATTTATAATTCTTAGTCACTCAATTATTTATTTTTATTATCTTATTCATCTTTCTGTAATTTCTATAATTTATCTCCAAAATATTAGCTACTAGGCTTATGTAATCTTGAATGATTAGTATTATTCTCGTCAGATATGTAACTACTTGAAGTAAATCCTCTTTAAGTCTTTGATCCTCTGTAAAATTATTCTCGTTTATTTTAGCCACTTAAATTTATTCCCGATGGGACGTGTTAGACGAATTTTTTTAGTTTTTCATCTTCTTCATCATCATCTATTTCTCCAAAAACTGTTTGTTTTTTTATTATTATTAATAAAAAGATTTTTATAATTTATTTTATATTATAAATTATTATTATATTTTTAACCTGATTTGTTGTTGGCTATTTGAGCGTTCGATTTTTCTTTTATAATTTTTAATGCATCATCTAAGTCCTTTTTGATTGAAAATTAAGTTTATTTATTTAATTGATAAATTCACTACTTTTTTTCCTTTCAGTGTTAAATTTACAGACATATATTAGTTTTTTATTTATTTATTTTGAATTAATGTTTGAGAATTTTTTTTTTTTTTTTTTTTTTCTTGTTTTTTATTAATAATTATTAAATCTTTATTTATTTTTTTATTTTAAAAAAATAATAATTTTTTTAGTATTTAAATTTTATTTTATTTTATTTTTTTTAATTTAAATAATTTATAAAGTAATATTTTATATATATAAGAAATATATTGTATTTGCTTTGTTTTTAAATAATTATTTATAACAAAAAAAATAAATAGAATTCAATTATTTTTTTAAAAAATACATAATTTGCAAAACATATAAAATTTATATTTATAAAAAAGTAAATTAATATAAAAACATTTTTATTAAAATAATATATTTTATCTAAAAAATTACATTCGGTTCTTTAATTTTATTTGAGTCTTTATTTTTTAATAATCTCTACTTCTTTTAATTTAAAGGTTTAAACTTTCTAAATTTTCCTTTATTCTATCTAAATCAGAAGTATTTATAAATAAAAAAAATATCTAAAATCTATAAAAAGATAAATCATAATTTAAGCTTTTGACATTCTATATATTTTAGCTAAATTTTTAATATTTAATTCTTTAAGTTTACATATTTCTAGAATTTTTTGTTTAAAAAAAAAAATATTATTAAAAACTCCTAAAGGAAGGCGGTGTATAAAGTTACAATAGCAATATTAAATTTCCTGAGAAAAATTATCTTAATTTTAGACTATTAATAATAAATATTGAATTTTACTTTTTTTTCATACAGTGTACATTTTATAATAAGAAATTAAATCAAATATACCTTATACTTTAAAAATTTGATATTTATTAGCCCCTTTTATATATTCTAGTTTTACACATTTTCTAATTCCATTCATATCAAAAATGCAGGTTAATGAACTATTAAATCTCCTTTTTTGGAGTAAGAAATTCTTAGCCAGTTTAAATATAATATATCTAGATATCGTAGCTTTAAATTATGTACTTTTTTATATTGTATAATGCTTTTTATAAGTTTAATTTTTTAATTAATTTTATTGTGATTTTTTGTTAGAAAAAATTAAAAGAATTTATTTATATTTAACAAAAAAAAAAAAAATAATACTCAATAAATTTATATTAATATATTTATATATTTAAATTTATAAGATATATTGTTTTTATTATTCAATAATTAAATAATTTTGTTATATATTATATATATAAATTATATAATTATATATCCTTTTTTTTAAAAAAAATAAAATAAAATAATATTATCATTATATTTATTCATCTTAATCTGGTCTTTTGACCTCTTCCCTCATTTAATCTTTATATGAAGTTAATTTACCTATATATTTTATTGTATATAAAATAATATATATTTTAAACTAAACATAAAATAACCTAGCATATTATTTTAAACAAATCCATTATCCCACATAGCTTTTTTATCAACTTTTCTCATTCTTTCCAGTCTTAACAAATAAAAAAGAAAAAAAAAAAATTATAAACTAATAAACAAATAAATTACTCTCTTCTTTCATTTTCCCTATATTCTTATTAGAATATGAGATTCTCTTCACTACCTATCCCCCAAATTTCCATTATCTTAATATCAAGCTTAGTTTCACTACTTTTTGGCAGTAAATTTCCTCCTCCATATGTCAAATCAAAACAATTTACATATGATTTTTCTGTAATTTCCTTATCAATCCAAAGTCTATATTTTTTAAAATTATCATCTCCTCCAAAACCCATGCCTACCTAATATTTAGATTTATTAATTTCTTTATTATTCATATAAGAGTAAAAAGTTCCACCTTGTCCTTCATAAGGATAAAAACACTAAAATTTAGGATGTAAAGTAAATAGGAAATTTTAAGAATCTCCCTAATATCCAAGTTGATTATTCCATTGATTTTTTTAAAAAGCTCCTATTATTCCTGTCATATTTTCATTATTTTATTAATATTTATATTTTATTAAAATTAAAGTGGGGGCATTATATCCTAATACAGCATGGGAAAGTCTATTAAAGCTTATTCCGGATTTATTCGTAGAATACAATAAATAAAGTCCTTTTGAGTTTTAGAAAATATCGCTATTTAAGTAAAATAAAGGAATTACATCGTCATTTATTATGTCTGAGTTTTCTTATAATTTTATTGTTTGGATATACTTTGGAGTATTTTGTTAAAAGAATAGTTATTAATACCAGTATTCTTTTAAGGTTTTATTTAAATATTATAATTAATGAAATATATGTCGAAAATATTAATATAAGCCTATTTTTTATTCATTTTGGGTTTCAGGTGTTGATAATAACATCTTTTCTATTAATTAATCACTGTTTTATATACTAAACATATCAAATATGTAAGATAATAGGTATTTAACTTAGTCTTGTGTTATTTCGAGTTATTCTAATTATATTATAGACCATTTTTCGGGATAAAATAATATTATAAAAATTAATTCTAAAGAATTTAGTTAATAATTATTAAACTTTTCATAAGTAAATGTTGAAGGTTTTTTTAATAAAAATTAAACTATTTTTTTTGTTATTTTTTTATGTTATTTTTTGTTATTTTTTACAAAATGATATAAATATATCGAAATTTATTTCGGATTTTTATTATGTTTCACTCATATTTTTCATAAATAAATATATGTTTTTGCCAAATTTAAATGATTTTTGTTAAAAGTAATTCTCTATAGAACTTGATTATGTTATTTTAGCATATTTTATATTATCATGTTACGATAATTTTAAAAATAATTGCTTTAAGTCTTCATATTCTTTATCTGAAAAACTATCTTTTGGAAGTTTTGATTTTTCTTGACCCATTTTTTATTATTGTAGAGTTTTATTTATTATTAAATTAGATTTTTTTAATTAAAACAATTAATAATATAATTAATTATCATATTATTTATTATATTCACACTTTTCTATATAAAATTATTTCTTATATAATGAAGAAATAAATAATATATATTATAAAATTTATTTTTTATTTATATGTAAATATATTTTGCTTGTTTTTTTTTTTAATAATATATGTTAAAAAAAGTAATATTTTTCTGTCACTATTTTTACTAAAAAGCATAACTTTTTTTCATTTACAATCACATGGCTCAAAAGGAATTTTTTAAATCTCTGCTTAACATACTTCACAAGTAATAATTTTGTCTTTACATTTTTTAACTATAAATGGTATTAAACCAGGAAGGCAACCAACAAAACACCATAAAACACAACATAAATATGTTCCAGTTCCTGTTTTATAATTATCTATTAATTATGATTCGTTTTTACAATAATCACATATAGTTGTGGGAAAACCTCCGTATTAATAAGATTATTATCCATATTTTAAACTTGTTTTATTGTTATATGACATTTAGTTATAATAATAATATATAATATTTAAGTTTTATTTTATTTTTTTAGTTTTTTTTTGTTTTATATTAATACAGTATATTTTATTTACTTATTTTTTTTTTAAAAAAAAAAAACAGAATTATATATAATTAAACAAAAAAAAATACATATTTTTATTATCTAAAAGATTTGAAACTATTTATTAATAAATAATACATATTATATAATTAAATTAGATTAATATTAAAAATATTCATAATTTAATAAAATATATATAATAAAGATAATTATTATATAATATAGTTCTAATTATTATTAAGGAAAAAAAAAAATTGTTTTAATATATATTTTTTTATGAATAAATGATATATATATATATTTTAATATTATTTAATAAAAAATAATTTAAAAGAAAAATTAATAAATAGTAATTAAAAAAAAATGTTGTAAAATTAAATCTAAATAAAATAAAGTTTTTTTTTTAAAAAAAAATAATAATTATATTATAATAAATGAATTAAATTATTATATAATTAATTCTTTGTTTGAAATAATATATAACGGGAGATAATTTAACTATTTTTTTGTTAAAAAAATACATTTATATAATAATTTGTTTTTGTTAAAGTAAAAATAGATAAAATTGTATCTAAAAAAAGATTAGGGAAATACAATAATAAAAGAAAAATAATAAATAAAAATAATAATATTAAGAATATATAAAAAAAAAAACAATATTAATTAATTCTTAAATTAATTTGTTTAATATAAATTATTAAGAACTTTTGGTTTTTAATATTATAAAAATTTTCAAAAATAAGGACTTAATTAAATAAATTTATTATTATAAATATATAAAAAAATAGAGTCTATATATTGTTAAAAATTTGATACTTTATAAATAAAATAGTTACTAATATAAAAATACTTATATATTTTTTAAATTTTAAAGGAAAATATGATTTTTGAAATAATCATTAATATTTAATAATTTAAATTAATAATATAAAAATTTAAAAGTGATTTAAAAATAATAAAAAAAATTTAATAATAAAGACTTAAACTTGTTAAAGTTATTTAGAAATAACATAATTATTTAAAATATTAGATAATAAGAAAGATTAAATAAAAAAAATATTATTAATTAAATAAAAAAAAATACTTTATTTATATAACTAAAATTATAAAGAAATTAAAAATAAAAAGAACAAAATTCTAAAAGGAAAGTTAATATATTTATTTTAAATAAAGTTTATATGCTTTAGTTTATTATAAAAATTATAAATTTTTACATATTAAAAAGGAATATTAAAATAAATAAATAAAAACTAAATTAATAAATAATATATATATATATATATATATATATATATATATATTTATAGTCAATTATGTTCTTTGTTTTAAATAATTAATATTTACATAAAAAATTAATTATAATGTTAATATTTAAAAAAGAAAAAAAATTAATATATAAATAAGTTTATTTTTTTTTCTTTTAAATTTTATTAATTTCTTTAAAACATAACATTAGATTAAATATTCAATATTAATATTATTTTAATTTATGATTTAAACTCTTATATTTTATTTTACTTTCAAAATTATTGGCATAGACCATAAAAGCTAAAAGCAATCCCAAACACTCATAAATAAACAATAGTATTCCATGAAATCTATTAAGTGAATTTAATGATCCACATTTATGTCTTTCAATATAGAAGGCTATATAAAAATTATAAAATCCTAAGATTAAAGAAAATACAGACAAATAATTATCTATACTTTTTAAATGTCTATCTAATTTTGTTTAAAAGTTTTCTAATATTAGTTTTAATATAAAAATCAAAAAATATATGTATTTAGCTGTTTAAGAATAGAATAAAAGATTTTCGCATAATTCTTTATCTTTTTCAGGTATTTCTTTATTAGATATAATAAAATATAAGAAAAACCATAATAAAGCTAACCAAATATTTGAAAAACCAATTAAGTTTTTTAAAATTTTAAATGGTGTCAATAATTATTTTTTTTTCATTAAGTTTTTTTTGAAATATTAATAAAATAATAATAATTTGTATATGTATATAAATATAAATATATATATATATATATATATATATATATATATACATAATTTATATAAATATTATTTTATTTAATAATTCATTCATATTTAAAAAGAAAAGTTATATTTTTAAAAAAAATTAATATAAAATAATATGAATTAAGGAGAAGCACTACCTAGAGATTTAATAAATTGGCTAGATTCATTAGATTTAGCATATTCTGTAAAAAATGTACGTAGAGACATAACAAACGGCTTTACAATAGCAGAAATACTCAGTAGATATTATCCTCGAGAAGTAAATATATATACATTTGATAACGGATAAAGAATGGATAGAAGAAGAGATAATTGGGAATAAATATCCAAAATTTTAAATAAGAAAAGCTTTAATATTCAACCAAGAGATTACGAGCCAATATATAATTAAGCAAAAGATGCCGCGTTTATTTTTTTGTGCAAATTATATGAATTTTTAAGCAAAAAGAAGCTTAATTTAGATAAAAACCAAAGATTTAGGAAGAAAATGTGATACCTGAGTATATGAAGCCTACTGGGACAACTTTAGCAAGGGAAAGGGAACTTGTTAGAATAATTGATTTAGAAGAAAAAGAGGCTAGGACTAAATTAGTGATTTAAAATCATGATAATAATGTGAGAAAAGAAAAAGAAAATTCAAATATTAAAGAATATTTGACATTTAAAAAAAGATAGTAATTAGAAGATTAGTTAAAGAAAGAAGAATAGGAATTAATGGAAAGAAAAAAAATATAATACGAATTTATAAGAATCCTTATAACCGGAAGTTAGAGAAATCTAATTGAAATCTTATAATTCTTCAACATCGAAAAAAAATAAAGAATAATAAGGATAATTAATGGAAGCTAAAGGGATCTTGGATTTTCTTTAAGATTAATCATCGACATTATTTAAAAAAGATCCTATAGCATAAGATATTAAGTATATATATTTAAAATATATATATATATATATATTTATATATATATATAATTATATATAAAAATCATATTATATTTTACTTAGAAATTTAAATATTGATGAAAAAAAACACTTTTTATTAGTTGATTTATTTAATAGATGTGATGAGATTTAGAAAAAAAGTATTAAAATATTAATATAGTGTTTTCTTGATAATAATTTACCTTTAATTATTGAAACATTAAATAATAACTTTTTGGATTTTAAGAAATTCTTTACTATGTTTATTCCTTTATTGAAATATTTTAATTTTACAGACGAGGAATATATTCTTACATTATTCCTTTTTAAAACAGTAGGCTAAGAATTAATAGACACTGATGCTCAGGGTACCTAAATGATGTTCGAAAATATCCTCTTGGAGCCTCTTATAGATATAATAATAAGATCTGGGAATAAAAAGCAGTCTTTATGTCATATTTTATATAAGTTTTGTGTTAAAGATAGTCTTTCAAGATTACATTTAATAAAACAAATAATAAAAATACTAAAAAGCGACTTAAAAAATTTAGTATCGATTTTATCTTTTTTAATATGTGAGAATTATGAAGAAGATTTCGATAATGAGTTGTATAGTATTTTTTTTTCGTACTCAGTTAAATAATTGAGCTCTCCTTCACCCATTAGTAGGGTTAATTGTTTAAAAATTATAAATGAGATTTGTTTTTTCGATTATAAACCAGTTCTTAGTTTGATTGATAATTTAAATAAACTCATAAATGATAATTGGTGGGAAATAAAAGCTTAGATATTAATTATTTGTTAAAATCTACTACTTTATTTAGCGTAAGAAGAGTAATAATTCGAAGATTTGGTAAAAGAGAATGACTAAAATATATAATAAATTTAATATGAGTAAAATTTATGTATAGAAAGAAGAGAGAAATTAAGTAATATAGTTTATTCTATTTTCAATATTCATGAAAGTTAAAATATTCTCAGAATTGGATTGATTTATCTAGCTCCAGTCTTAAATTATTACCCAGTATTCTGTGATAGGTATTTAGATATTCTTTTAAGGATTTAAACTTCTATTAGAGAGTAAGTACTTTTAACTAATCCTTAAAAAGGAGAAGAGGAAGGGTAAATTGTGGGAGGATGTAATTCTTTTAAATATAAATTAACTTCAGCACCTATTAATTGGAATAGTGTTGGAATTGCGTAGGCTTTGGATAATTATGTAAATTAATAAAATCTAAAAGAGTTTAATAAAGAACATTTAGAAATCATTATTGGGTGTTTACATAATTAATTATAAGATAGAGATAGTTAGGTGTGGATTTATATATTTAATAAACTTAAAAGTTATATCTTTTTAGCACTTTTGGAAAGGGAAATGTGCGCGTTGGCTTCCGAAATTATTAAAAGAATGTTCTTATTTGAAACTATTTAATAGAAAATTATGGAAGATTCTAAACTTTTATTTTTAAAGTTGATTATTTTTACTTATGATCCGGATATTGATTAATCATGTAAAGATAATCTTTTGGAACTTTTTGAGTTTTTAAATTTATAGGGGTAATAATTTAAAGATTATACATATTAGATTATTAAAGATTTCTCGGAATAATAAAAAGATAAGTTTTTGAAAAGTAATTTAGTAGAGTTTATGAATAATTTAGCAAGAGAAAGGAAGCATAAAGAATATGGCGAAGTTTATTTTGTTTGATTTTTTTTATTTTATAGAAATTAATTTAAAAAAAGTTTATTTTATTTTTTATGTAATTTTTAATTTTCAAAATTAAATAAAAATAAAAATAGACAATAAAAAATTTTGCTTGTCGATAAAATTTTATATTTTAAATAAATATATATATATATATATATATTATATATTATATATAACATTATTATTTTTATTTAATAATTTTTATATATGTTTATTATTTTTTATTTTTCTTCATAAATATTCATTATTTGTTTGTCTGAAAAATTCCTCAATATCTATGTTTTATAATAGACTTTGCTTTTCTTCTTGATTTTCATTTTTATTGTTTTAATTTTCTTTTATAATTTCAACTTCTTAATTTCCTTTAAATAATTAAGTGTTTCCGTATTAATCATACTTTCTTAAAAAATAAAAATATATATATGTAAGAAAATGTATTATATATATATATATAATATAAAATAAATATTACCCCAGTTTCTTCAGCTTTCGTTATACTTTTAAGAATTTTCTCTATTAAAAAAAGTAGCCAAGGGAAACTTAGTAATCCGTAAATAGTTTTCACCAAATAAATAGCTTAATAATATTGCCAAATTTCTTTTTTTAAATCATTTCCAGTATATATAAATAGCATGAGAATTCCTATACAAAAAAAAAATGCAATCATGTCCAAAAAAAGAAAGTTTTTAAATCTTCCACCTTTTTCTAAATTTATTTTTAAGCAGCAATTTTAATATTCATTTGATTCTTTTTAAGCTATTCCTTTTGATTTAGAGAAAGGAATTATCAAAAAGCTTAACCAACATAAGGCAATTTATAATAGAAAACCTAAAAGATCTATTATCACGTTTATTTTGGATCCAGGTCCTTCCGTTTTGCATTTATAAAAGTCTTAAGGACTCGAATAATCGTTTAAAGTAGTACAGTTAAAAAAAAGAGCATATCCTATTAATGTACCGGACATTCCAATGCTAAAAAATTACACTTTTTTAAATTAAATTATGTAATTAAATAACTACCATTCATCAGATTTATCTATAAAAAGAAAAATAATGATGTGTAAAAAACTTTAAACGCCATAAAATGGAAAAAGTTTAACTAATAATATAAACCACCATGAAAAAGATCTTATTTTTAGCCAAAAAGATTTATTATCTATAGTTTATTAATAAAATAATTATTATAGAAATATATATATATATATATATATATATATATAATTATATATATATATATATTATTATATATTTACATGGTTGATCTGTATATAAATACCATGATCTTATTATGTACCAAGGATTTATATAACAAGTTATACTTTATTTTATTTCCTGAATTTTTTCTATTTATTATTTCTCTTTTATTCTAAAGTTAAATATAAATATATAATAATAATTTATATATATATATATATATATATATAATAAAAAATATATATATACATATTTAATTTTATTTATATTTATATTTTATAGAAATTTTTATATTTTTTTTTATATTTAATTGTATTATAATTTATCTTTTATTTCTTTTTTATACCATATATAATAACATAATTCATTAAAAAATTTTAATTAATTATTTTTAAAAAATCTTTTTTTTTTTAACAAAAATTTATAAAAAAACTATTAATCCTAATCATAATGTTAAATATTAATATATTTTTTTACCTAATTCTTATTTTTACCAAATCTTCTATTTCAGGCCAATCTATATCAACAGCATCATCAATTAATTATTTTACACATTAAGACTTTATTTATATTATTTTTTTTTTTTTTTAAATTAATACCATTTGCGGATCTTTAATTTTTCTTTTTACTAACGATTTAGCTTTTGATAATAAATTATCTATTTATTATTCTACTTTTAACTTTATCCATATATTAATATTATTTTTTTGATTAATTAGTTATTATTAGAAATTATTATTTCCTTTTTAATCTTCATTTTATAAGTCTTTTTTAATTGTGTTTATTTAGTTTATTGCCTTTCGAGCATTTTATATCTTTTTTGTTTGTTTATTGTTTAAAATTAAAAAAATATACAATTTTTATTTTTTTATAACTATTATATTTTCTTTTTTATTTTCTTTTGTTTATTTTTTTTGATATTCTTGAAATTCTTATAAAGGATTTTATGATAAAACTATTTGGTTTAAATTATCTTCACTATAAGGAATTTATTATTGAATTTTTATTTATGTTTAATATTATTTATATTATTCAAAAGGATTTTCCTGTAATTTAATTTAATTATTGTTTTCATTATATTTAGGGTACATTTTTTCTATATATATATATATATATATTATTTACTTTATTTAATTTTTTATTTAAAATTTAAGTTTTATATAATAATATTTATAAATTTAAAATATTTTATTTACTAATATATAATTTATAGTTTTTAAATATTTATTTTATTTTATTTTTATAAAAAAAAAAAAAAAAATATTAAAAAAAAGAAATAATATTAAAAAAAAAAAAAAATCAAACTTAAATAGTATTAATCCATTTATTAATTGCATCTTCTTTAGTTTTATCTAAAATATTCTTTTTATATAAAGCATTTTCATAATATCCTTCTACACTATTAATATTTCCTTAAATTTTATTATCTAAAATGAGTTCTTGGAGATAATTTTCGACTATATTTTCTTCTATATTTAATTATTTTCCTATATATTTTATTTTTATTCTTTCATAAGGATTAATTATTTTTATTATTTTTTCTAAAGAAATCACTTTTTTTAATTAATTTGTAAATTATTTCATAAATTCATCCTTTATTATAAAGAAATATGTATTATTTATTAATTTTTATATATATATATACATCCATAATATGAGAATATCTATCATTTATAATTTTATTAAACATATTAATATCTTTATTTTCATAAGCATATCTTAAGTTTTACATAGCAATTATTTCCCTATCTTCTTTGTAAACTTTCGCTTCTCGATTATCAAAAGGGTTAATTGATGATCCTGAAAGAATAGAAGCTAAAACTACATACTTAAGAACAACTTTAGCTTAAGGATTTCCAACTTCTTAATAGTTTTTAAATGATTCTAATAGTTCAAGGGCAGCATCATGGTAGTTTTTTTCAAACATGAGCATTTTTCCGTTTGTTTCTTTAATTATTCCCATAATTTTAGGATCTGAAATAGTGGATTAGTGTTTTTTGGTACGTGAGTATATATCTTTGAGCTTAGTAATTTATTTTTTTTGAATTAATATTTATATTTCTAAAGAATATACTTCCAATAGATATTCTGATTTTTTAAAGTCATCAGAGCCATCAGGATGTCTACATGATTGTTTTATTTCTTCGAGAAGCTTCTGTAAATTTAAATTATTTTTATCTTAAGATTCGAAGAATATTTTACATAATTTTAAGGATGCATTATACCATAATTATATCATTTATTTATGTTTTAAATAATCTAATATAATTTCAAATATTTTTTATCGTGTATCGTTTTCTTATAAATTCATTATCTAAATAAATATATATATATATATATATATATATATATATATAAATATATTTAATATATTTATTTTTATATATATATAAAAAATATATATATTTATCAAATTATATTTAATTTTAATTATATTTATTTGTTTATTTTTTTATATATATTATTTACAGTTTCTATTATCTGTGTAATAGCTTCTGTCGCATCATTTTTACTTACTCCTTCCATATTTTTTAAAATTTAACTTATGTTTTATATCAATTACTATACTTGATTTATTTTCACACTTAATATAATTATCTATAATAATGATTTAAATGTCCATTTTCGTTATTATATATCTTTAGATTCTTCTCTTTCTATAATTCCTTAAAATATTAAGATTGCCCCTTACGGATCAGTTTGTTTTTCCTCTTATTTTATATTGTTATTTTTTTAATTAATTTCTTATTTACCATCGGCTGTATAAAAATCGTTTTCTAATTATATTTCAAAATCATCTTCTTCTTCCATTCCTTCACATCCATTGTCATCTTCGATATATCCATCAACGTCTTCATCATAATTATAATCAGACATTTATTTTGGTTTTTAAATTTTATTATATAGAAATTAAATATTAAAAAGTATAATATATTAATAAAATATTTATCCTTTTGTTTATTTTTATAAATATTAAATAATAATTAAATGTAATAAACAATATAAAATATTTTAGATTGATAAATATATATATATATATATATATATATATATATTTATATATATATATATATATATTTAAATATATATATATTAAAACTTATTTTAATAAAAAAAAAACAAATAAAAAGATATTTAATATTTTATTTTATTATAATTTTTTATTAATACATATAAAAAAAAAAAAAAATTATTAAATATAATTTTTATTATATATGTTATTTTAATTGTATTTATTAATAATATTAATTAATTTATAAAATATTTCATTTTATTTATTTTTTCTTTTATTAGTTTATAACAGGTATAAAATAAGGATGTAACATAGCTTCTTTTGGTGTTATTCTTTTTGCCTTCAAAAAAAAATAAAAATAATATAAAAATAATAATAATAAAATCAAAATACGTGATCATATACTAACATTTTGTTTAATAAATCAATTGCTTCTTCATTTGCAATGTGTTAATTTTCATTATTTACAAAAGTATACCAACTTCTTTTTTCATATCTCCCTAAAACTCCTTTATAATTATTATCAAGGATAAGTCCATAACTTTTTATATATTCCGTTAAATCAGCAGTACCTAGGACTCTATTTATTTTTTCCAATTAATCATAATTATCATTTCCTTAAAAAAAAGGTTCTTTTTTGAAAATTATTCCTGCAAACATAGCTCCTAAACTCCAAATATCTAAACTATAATCATAATATTAATAATTTACTAATAATTCAGGCCCTTTAAAATATCTTGAAGCTACTCTAACCTTTATATATATTAAAAAATAAATGTGCTTTAAAAAGGTTATGTATTAATTAAGTTACATTATAATTTTAACCAGGTATATAATATTCAGCTAATCCCCAATCTATCAATCTTAATATTTTTTTTCGTGATCAATCATTATATTATGAGGTTTTACATCTCTATGCATTATTCCTTAACTATGAGCATAATCAAGTGTCTATATATATAATACAGAAATATTTATAAAAAATTAAATGATAAAAATAAAAATAAATATATAAATATAAAAATATATAAATATATAAATATATATAAATATTTATATATATAATATTTTTATTTTGTTTATATTTATAAATTTATATTGCTCATTATTATTAATTTATTATTAATTTTTTTTTTTTTGAATATACATGATTATATGTTTTACTTTCAATATTTCATAAATATAATATCTTATGTCGAAATCATTTAATTAAGGATATAATGTTCTATAGTCTTAACTATTTACATATTCAAATATCTAATACATTATAAATTTTAAAATTTGGCTAATATAAAATTTATAAAATTACTAAGCATGTTGTTTTTGTTTCAGGTTCTCTTACTATATCTAATAAAGTAATTATATTTTTCCCGCCGCAAATATTTATTAAAATAGAGACTTCTCTTTTTATTTTTTTCTTTCTTACTTTTTATAAATTAAATAATTATTTTATTTATTATTTTTAAAGAAAATAATACTTGGCTTTAAAACTTTAATAACACATTTTTAATTATTCAATGTATTTATTCCTTAAAATACTTCCGAATATTTACCTCTACCTAGTTTTGCTATTACTTAATAATTATTCAAATTTCTTAATTGTTTTAAAATAATTTTTTTTGTTTAAATAAAAATATAGGTTAATATTTAATTTATTGACTAATTATTATTACCCATATTAAATTTCCACTTTTTCATAATCATAATAATCTTGTCCTTTTAATAAATTAACATCGGCATAATATTTTGGTTTAGGTAATGAATCCATTTTTATTTTTATTTATTTATTAATTTTTATATTTAAAAATTATTTAAATATTTTATTATTTTTTTTTTTTTAAATAAATTTTTTAAATTGTTTTATTAAAAAAATATAATTTTCATTATTATTATATTTTTTTAAATTAATAATTTTTTTTTTTTACATAAAATTTAATTTTTATTAATTTATTATTTTTAAAAAAATATATATATAAATTATCTCTTTTATTATTTTTTTTTTAATTATGAAAATAATTTATAAATATATATATTTCAAATAATAAATATTTCTTAAAAAAAAAAAAAAAAAAAAAATTAAATTCTTAATAATATATACTAAACTTAATATAACAAAAAAATTAAAAAAAAAAAAACAAATATATAAAAAAAATAATAATAATTATATATATATATATATTTTAAGAAATAAACAAAAAAATTAACAAGTTTATTCAAAAAAATTAAATCAAATAAAAAAAAAAAATATGAATCAAAATAATTTTTGAGGCAATATGTATAACCCCAAAATAAAACAATAAGTTTAAAATAAACCAACCCCAAAAAATAACAAAAAAACATAAAAAAAAACACCAAAAGAAATAAAAAAAATACATATATCAAAAGGATTAACAAAAAATAAAAAACCACAATATTATTTTATAAAAAATCTATAAACTAATAAATATAACAGGATATAATTCTAACCCCAGAATTTAAATAATAAATAAAAATGCTAACGCAAGTGAAAATATATAACCCCAAAAGTTAAAATAAATAACCCCACAAGTAAAAATAAATAACCCCATAAGTAAAAATAATAACCCCATAATTAATAAAATGTAAATGTAAATGTATTATTTAATATTAACCCCAGAATTTAAAAAAATAACCCCATAAGCAAAAAAAAGTTATTGAAGAAGTAAAAAATAACCCCAGAATTATTTTTTAAATATATAAAATAAAAAATTAAAAAAAAAGTTATAATATTTTTATAATATAAGAGTTTGTATTAACCCCATTAGTAATTATAACAACCCCGCAAGTAAAAATAGTAAACCCATAATTAAAAATAAGTAAAATAGAATTAAAATAAAAAAATACAAGCCGCATATTAAAATAATAACCCCATAAGTGAAATAGAAAAATCCAAGAATAAAAAAATATCTCAAGAAATATAAAGTAATAATCCATTAAATAGAAAAACCTATACCATAATTATAAAGAATAAACGCAAAGTTAAGAAATTAACACTAATAGTTAAAAATTATTCCTCGCATAAGTTAAAAATCACACAAATAGAAAATAAAATAATACCCCGCTCCCCCCCCAACCAACTATAAATAAAATAAAAAATACAATTTAATAATAAAAAATAAAATATATATATATATATATATATTTTAATATTAATTAATTATAATTTTAATTAATATTTATAATAATTAATAAATTCAATAAAATAAAAATAAAAATAATAAAATTATTATTATTTGATTTTTTTTTAATAGAAAAAAATAAAATAATAAATTATATATTTATATATATATATATATATATATATATTTATATATTATTATTAAAAAAAAATTTATATATTAAAAATAAAAATAATTATAAAAAATTGAATAATTTTATTTTTAATAACTTTAGTATAAATTTATTTAAAATAAATATATAAAAATATAATTCATATTTCATCAATCTTATTTAAAGTTTTAGAATATTTTCTGGTCTCCTTATTATTATTAATAACAACTTTTTATAAAGATTATATACCTTTTTTATATACAAGGAGTGAATTAAGTCTTAAATTTTTGATTTCTTTTTATTTTTCCTCCAAATTTTTCCTTAAAGCTATAATTTCAATAAATAAAAGGAAACATATACCATGTAAATCACTAATTTTGATTTATAAATCGCTATTTTAAACAACTTTTATTTTTATGGAATTATTTTCTTAGTTTAAATTAAATATTATATTTTTATATTTTATATTTTTTTGTTTTTCTTCTAATATTTGTTTATCTTATCTTCTTAGTATTTCTTCCATTCTTTATATTTCTTCTGATAAAATAGTCATATTAATGAATTATTATTCTTCTTCTATGTTCTTTTGCTCTATTTATTTGTTTAACTATTTTATTTATTCTTCCAAATTTAAGGCATCTTATTCCTATAATAATATTTTTTTTTAATCTAATTATATATTTTCTTCTTATTATTTAAGTTTTTATATATAAATTTGGATTTATTCATCTTATTATTGTGTTTTTTCTTTATTTTATTTGATTATTTCTTATAGTTATTGTATTATTTCTTATTATTATTATATTTATTATTCTTATTATTAAGTTTTTAGTAAGTTTTATTCATTTAAAGTATTAATTTCTTCTTGTAAGTTATAATTTTCTTATTATATATTTTCACATTCTTAAAGGAATAATTCTTTTTCGAATTTTCTTTGTTTTTCAATTAAACTTAATTGCTTTTATTTTTTTTAATTTCAATATTTTTTTATTGAATTTCTTCATTTAATTTTTGAAATTATTTTTCGTTTTTTTAATATTCAGTTTTTATTAAATTTTCATATGAAATATTTATTTTTTGTTCTTATTTTTAATTTTTATCCTCATTTTATATTGAATTTTGTATATTTTCGAATTATATATTTTCTGTTTTTTATTTTTACATATTTATTTCTGTTTTGTATTTTTACTTAATTTATTTTATTATTTCTTCTTTTTATTATAAAATGTTATTTTAACTTATTTTTATATTTATTTATTTTTTTTTTAAAAAAAGGATTCATTGATAAAAATTTTGAAGTTACTTATTGATTTCTTATTTATAATTTTCATTCAAATTTTCTATTATTTCATTTAATGAATCTCTTAAGTAAAAAAAATTAATAAATTATTTTAAAAAAGTTATATACATTTTTTCATTTTAATTTAAGATTAATATATCTTTACAGTTTATTTGTTATTATATTTAAGAAAGGGATTCTTATATGTGATTTTAAGAATTTATTTATATATTTATTTATGTTTGTTAACTTATTATTTTTTAAAATGAATAATTAAATTTTATTTTACTTTTTTTTAATATCTAGCATTTAAATTTTTTTAATATTTATTACAATATTTTTTTCAGTTATTAATTAATAATATTATATTTATAATTATCAAAAAGAAAAAAATAGACTATATAAGACTATATAATTTAAATAAAAAATTATTATTATTTTTTGATAATAATATAGTAAATAATATAAAAATGTGTATTATATTATTTATAAAATAATTTTAGATAATATAAAATAAGATTATATATTAAATTTGTTTATAAAAATTACTTAAGGTCTATAAATATTAAAAAAATATTTATTATATTAAATTTTATATAAAATGTTAAAATAATTATATTAGAAAAAATATGTTAGAAATTTATTGTTTAAATAATTAAATAAAAATGTTTATTAAAATAAATATATAATAAGATTAAAATATATAAAAAAAAATAATATAGTATAA